GTCTAGCTTCAATAAAAATTAGTGGCTTTTATTCATACATGTAGTATCTTTTATTCATACATGTAGTATGTGTGAGAGAAAGAAAGCCAGCATTCAACTTATTATTCATAGTTTGTATAGTTAGGTAGATGATCAGTTTTAGTCCTAGTTTCCCATCTTTAAAATGATACATCGGTCAATACGAAGGTGAAAATCCTCTACCTTGACTGTTAACCTATCTGTCTGCATTTGTACCCACTTACAAAGTATTTAGTAGTTTGAGGAATGAAACAAAAATAAATGACATTGTCCAACAATGACATCACTGTATAACCTTAGGTCTTCGATCTTACGGTACTAGCCAAAAATAGTAATAATGCTTTATTCATTAGGATATTTTAGGCTGGAAGGTGGAATAATACTTAAATTTTAATAGAAGCTAACAGTAGACTCTACTAGAGGAAGGGGCCTTTTATTTGAACACCTTGAAATTCTATGAATGTAACTCGGTGATTCAGCAAATATTCTGGACCAAGTAAGCAGAATTTACTGGCAGGTTTGGTGCATGGCATGTTTACAGACCACTTCAGTGCTAGGGAAGTGTACTAACCTTTGATATAGTACTACTAGTGCATTGAGATATCTTTATTGATCAGGGAACGTTCCAGAAAATGGAACCGGCGTGTTTTATTCTCCTTCCCTTTTTCCATAAAATGTAGACATAACCGGAATGTGGAAGTAGTTTGAAAAGTTGAATATAAACGTTTCTGTTAGTATCATATCGTTTGGCGAGATTTAAGAGGAATAAAGGATGTGAATCAACGTATTGTTTACAGATAATAGAAGTCAACTCTTTTGTTTAGCCATCACCTGTGTTTTAGTGTTTTATGTTCCTTTGAAAAGGATCGCAAATTTGTACAGCAAGGTCGCCATCTTATTGCAAGTTTCTTCCCAATTACCTGTGCGCCAGCTGTAATGAAAACTGCATAATTCATGATGCCGGTAACGTAGTGAATATTGTAGTGACGTGGGAGGCCCGTATCTCACAAAGAAAAACGTGGCAACAGACACGGTTGTTTTTGTCTGCCAGCCACGCAATCTATAGGTGGACATTTGGCGTCAGCCAGGGCAGTGTCAGAAGGCGTTGTTTTATCACAGCCGCAATCTGAGGCTCATGCCAAATGTTTACCCCGGCGGGATCTGATTCTGTTGATGGAGTACAAACATTTTGAGACCACCCCCTAGAAATACCTAGTGTAATTACCTCAGCCCTCCAGCTGTCGCAGGTGTGTAATGTAAAAAGAGGAGAAACTGGTTGCGCCAGGAAGAGACTTAACCCTCCCAACTTACCAGCGAGACTTCAAAAGTACATTCTCCTTCACCATGTACTATTCAAGGTATGTAACGTTGGGCAAATTTAGTAGTCTGTAAAGTAAACTGAATGTGTTCTTTTGCAAGCAGGCGGCGCAGATGTAGTTGTGGTTCGAGTTTGAATGAAATGTTGCTTCAGAGTGAAGAGTAACTAACTTGAGGTCGTTACTGGTACTGTAGCTCTGATATTGATTACCATTGAAATGGATCGGGCACTCTAGCACTCAGTACTTTTTAGAAAATGTGTGGTCGTGGTGTGACATTCATACTCGGGCCTTTTCCTAAATACTGTAGTGCCTGCCGAAGCAAAACTATTGTTAGGCAAAGCTGTTGCATAATCCCCTTAGAACTTATCGTTCCTTTGTCCCATGTCAAAAACCAGTAACGCACGCTTAAGAGTAGGGTTGCACTGTTCCAAAGAGTCATTCATTCAGCAATTGGAGATCGAACTTGCCACAGTAATGACTTCAAACTTGCTGGTAACATGGGTATCTGGTATGTAAGGTGAGGATTCTGAGTTTAAGGGACACTTTTCGAGTGGAAGCTGCCATTTCAGACTGGATACATTCTATTTACCACAAGCCATGGCAACCTCAAGGCCAATCTCTTGGCTTTCATTAGTGTAGGGTTTCATTGTTACATTGGTTACTTGATCTTAATCTCCAAGCAGATCTTTTGGTGGGGGTAAGACAGTATCAAATTGGCCAGTCTGTATATTTTCCCCACCCCTTGGGTGGGGAAATGGACACAGACTGGCCAATTTGATACTGTCTTACCCCCACCAAAAGATCTGCTTGGAGATTAACTTGATCTGGCTAACTGAGGAGGGATCCATGAAAATTTTGTAGTACTGTACACAAGTTTTTTTTGCTAATTTTTGTTTTTTATTAGACTGTATGAACTGTCACTAAACTGCAGTTTGTACAATACGTACAAAGAATAGTGAAAGTGGCTCCTACACCCACTTTCATTTGCATTAAGTACTGCAATTAATATTTATTTATTACATCATGTATCCAGGGGAATTATAACAAAGTTTGTGGGGACTAAATTTTGTGATAAGGGGAAAGAATGCATTCACATTGAAGAAAGGGGGAGGATGCATACAGAAGACAGTATTGAAAGCTGCGAATATAAAACAGTCACGAATATTTCAAAATGTACAGTAAACCACATCTAAAGTAAGTGATACCTTGGTCCTATACAAACCACACAGAGAGCCATGTCTGGTCCATTCACTTGTTCCAATCATGCTGGGAGGGCAATGACTTCCATTTTCAACAGCTGGCCTTACTTTGCCCATTCATTGCGTATGTATGCCTTTAGAGTGAGTCACACATGTATGTATAACTCTGCTCCTTCCAAGATTAGGAATTCTGAGAAAGCCGGACTCTAATCTTGTCCGTTTCCGGCTCTGAGAAAAAGGTGGCGAGCTGCCCGATACAATTTTGGGTCAATTGTAATTTTCACGGCATTGTACTCTATGGACTTCCCCTCTTTAGCAGGAAGCCTGGGGGAAGACAATGAAGGATACAGCCTGTTAGGTTCATTGTGGTAACATTAGCCGTGTGACGTGTGTGTATTGAAGGTGACACTGACAGTCTGTGTGGACGTAGGAGTATTGGCCATCCCACTTAATATCGTCATTACGATCTCTCCTTGGGAAATTGCAAGGTCTCTCGCCGTTGGCGTGCGTCACTCTGGCATCAGCAGGGTCGGGCCCTACCAGATTGAAAGCCACAAGTGTGACGCAGATTAAAGGGAAAAGTAGCTTTGAGTAGTACAGACGCCCTTCCTTGAGTCTATTCAGAAGATGACATGAGAGGTTTTCTTATCAGACATCTAGTGATCTGGAAACGAGACAGATCACAGGAGTGTCTCAAACACATTTGTGGTAACCTTTGCATTCAATGTGGGCAGGAAAAGCCTAATAGCTCTGTAGATTATAAAAGCATGAATGGCTTATGATTTCATTGATGATGAATGGGGAAATAAGGAGTTGTCTGCATGGAGGTTCTTTCTCTAACCTCCTTATTGTCTGTTACCCTTCAGGGTTAAAAAGAAAACTCGCCTTCCTCGTGATTTGATTAGTTGAAGTGTAGGCGACAGGATGTCTCCAGGATTGTTGTTAGAATTGCGGATAATGTAGTAAAGTTGAAATCCCTCCGCAGTCCGGCAGAGCCTCCTGATCAATCTGGTCTGTTTGAACTCTGTGGCTGCAGCTGAATGCCTTCCTCACAGTTCAATAACCAGTTTCATTTCCCCAGAGGGTGCTGCATGCCAGGCAGCATGAGGGAGAATATTCAGGGCCCCAATAGGGCAGCCCAAAATGGGCAGCCTGGCCACATGGCTACTCATACATTATCTTTTGCATCATTTCCATTAGACTGGTCCATTTAGCTCTGTAGGGGAGGGGACGAATATATTTCTGATAGACATACACAAATTAATATAATGGTAATATTTCTATTACATGTTAATGTTTGTATCATAATGATAAGCCAGTCATTAGACTTAAAAGACTTGCAAGCTCATTACGTCTTCTGTCATAAAGTTGATCTCACCTAAAGATTTGAATGGAAATGGAATTGCCCGGCTTTCAAATTAGGCTTGTGTACACCAGTTGCCCCTCATTTTAACCCTGTGGAATAATGGATAGCTGGGGACTACAAAGGTGAGCATTCAAGTGTCCTCCAGGTTTTTAGTTGGTAATTTTTGGCAGAAGCTTAAGTGTGCGTTATGGGGGGATTTGTCTAGGGCATTGTGGTGTGAAATTTGGTAGATGTCTGACATGTATTTTCAGCAGCTGGAACAGTTCAGGACCTGTTTCCATGTGTTAGTTCCTCAGTGTATATATGATATGCCCCCCTCCCCCATTCCTTCTGATTTAGTCACATCATCATGCCAGAGATATCTTGTGTCTTCAGCTTGATTTTTAGATTTCAAAATTTGACTGTTTTATCACAGTGTACACTTTGAGAGATAGACAACTGACAAGCATTGGTAGTACATTCTAGTCATATATTTGTCAACACCTAGGATGTATGTTGGGGTGGGTATATGAGGAAACAAAAGTTTGCCCTCTTTGTCTGCCATGATATGGTGGTAAAACTAAATGTAAACCTTTGTTTTAGCGAATGTAGGCCCGTCCTTTGTGCTCCTAGTGGAGTGAATTCCTGCGTGAACAGGATCCTGCCCAATCCGCTCCTGATTGGGAGAGGCGTGTTTGCTCTGCCTCCACTTTTGTTTGCTCAACAGCAAGGCCCAGGCCCTGAGCCTAACTTCCTCCCCTACCCAGAAGGTCTATGGGAGTTCCTGAAATCGATCTGTGCCAGTGCATATCCAGTGACAGCGGGTGCATTTACAGCCCAGATTGGCTGGGAATCTATCAGCTTGGACTAGTGGAGCCTGTCCAAATGTGACCTTTGCCCAGCGTCTGGTGCCCTCTTGGCATTCCAGCCCCAGATCTCGGCAGGCCCTCCCCAGGCTTGTTAGACAATCTCTTCAGTCAATCCCGCGCGCTTCTTTCACATGACCAGGAGCGCGAAGCGTTGACGTGGTGTGGTACCATCCAGTGCTAAAGGGCAGGACGAAGAGGCATTGCGCATTGCGGATCTGCAAACTGATGCAGTTTAGCGTTAAAACAAAGAGGCGGAGAAGCCCAGACCAGGAGATGACAGCTGATTGATCTAACCTAGAGGACGTGTTCTCCTGAGAATTGTTCATCTCCATTGAAGCTCACATCATCCAGGTTAATAGTCTGCAGGACTACTGTGTGGTTTTGGACCAGTATAATTATCAAGCGGCCAATCTGTGGGCACCTAGCAATTACTATTTATGAAGTCCCGCAGCAGGAGAGTCCTTCCAAGTGTGGTGTCCGGTCATCAGTGCTGCCAGCTGGTTGGGTCAGAACCGGACTTCCTGACTTCGGACAGGCTGACCAGGACCACCAGCCAGCACTACCACCGGCCTGGACCAGACAGAAGGAAGTTCACCAGGTCTTGTGGTGTCTTCTTCTTTCTGATGATTCAGCCTTCGATATTTGTATTATTTTATTCCCTTAGATGCAGAGACAAGGAATCTATCTTTGTTCATGGGTTGATCACTCCAACCTCAAGGATATATTATAGGTACTTTAAAATGTACAAAAGTCTTAGACAAACACACAAGACTGAGGTGGATGATTCTATGTTAGCCCTGTTATAATAATTAAGTTCTGCTAGAAACTGCAGATGTGGATTCACAATGTGTTGACTTCACATGTGTTACATCCATCTAATACTGGTCTTATTATAGAAAATTGAGAAATCTTGGCTTGTTGCTTCTCTCCCAGTTATCTTTTCTGGCAGGACGGGTGGACCTTGAGAGAGCTACGTTGCCTGAATTGTTTGCCTTTCGAGTTCAAATTCAGAGGGCTTTATTTTTGGAGCGGCTAAGGTTATGCTAGGCACTGCTAACATTTGATATGCCCTAGGTAAAGGCATGACGCACATGTCTGGTGGACAGAGGTGTCCACATTACACCAGGATGTGGAGGTTGATAAAGCAGTAAAATACTGTTTTGCTTTATTTGTGTAAATAAATATATATATATATTAATGTACCTGTATGAAGCAAATTTCTAAAGATCCTGCTTGACAGTGATCAGTAGGCTGGAGGTTTCTACAACAAGAATCTCACATTACTTTTGTCAGAGACATACTGGTAAGGAGAGGTCCCCCTGTGGACTAGGGACCTTCCTTGGTCTGCTAATTTTTCTGGCAAATCATCCTGCTTTTAAGTATATTTTAAGTAACCAAAGGGAGCGTGGTTGGCAGCGTGCAACAAAGGAAATATTTTGAATTACAAGCCTTATTTGCCAAAGGATTATTATATATTTATATATATTATATAGTGCCGTAAGCTTTAAGTGTAATAGATAGCAATTTCTTGCAACTTGTGTCTTTGCCAGTCTTTCCATAGTTCTTTTACAAGTTATAGAAACATTATTTTTTACAAACAGATATGTCATCTTGCTGGAGATGAAAGGCACTAGGAAAAACTAGATGTCATCCTTGCTGCAGCCAACTTAATACGATCATGATAATCATTTTTTACAGCCATATCAAGCTCAGCAAATGTTTGACATTGAATCTATAGTCACAGTTAATTGACATGTGCTGTCCCACTATGTTGCACACAGGTCAGCACACTTCAGCATGTCGATAAGCATATGATAATGATGATAATTTTTTCACAGCCAAATCAAGCTCAGCAAATGTCTGACATTGAATCTTTAGTCACAGTTGATTGACATGTGCTGTCCCACTGTGTTGCACACAGGTCAGCACACTTTAGCATGTCGATAAGCATATGATAATGCTGATAATTTTTTTACAGCCATAATATCAAGCTCAGCAAATGTTTGCCATTGAATCTATAGTGACAGTTGATTGACATGTGCTGTCCCACTATGTTGCACACAGGTCAGCGCACTTCAGGCTTATTTTTTCAGCATGATAATTTTTTTCAGCCATAGTAAGCTCAGCAAATGTTTGCCATTGAATCTATAGTCACAGTTGATTGACATGTGCTGTCCCACTATGTTGCACACAGGTCAGCACACTTCAGCATGCTGGCCATCAAGCAGAACCCCATGCTAGCGGAGGCCTACTCCAACCTGGGGAACGTCTACAAGGAGAGAGGACAGCTTCCCGAGGCGCTAGAAAACTACCGGCACGCCGTGCGGTTGAAGCCAGACTTCATCGACGGCTACATCAACCTGGCCGCAGCGCTGGTGACTGCCGGGGATATGGAGGGTGCAGTCCAGGCATACTGTCAGGCACTGCAGTATAACCCTGTAAGTTCGGTTGGTATTGCTTCATTCCTTTTCATAGATAAGACACATTAGTTGTTGGCCTAGGAGCTTGATATAAATTCATGCAACTGCAGTGATAACTGGAGAGTGTTCTGTATCAAGATTAACTGTTATTTTAGCAACACTTAGTAGTAATCAAATAATCCTACATTGAATTTGGATAAATCATTGTAATGGTGAGGTACAGAAATTGTAGTTTTTGCATTTGTAGGAATATGTCAAAAATTTTCACCCCTGCATTGGTTTCTAAATGTCTTCAGAACAAGAATTGAGCTGGCTTAATATATCGCCTTTGAACTTCTATACTACAATGTACCTTTTGGTTGTATAGAGTTCATGAAATGATGAAAACTCAGAATTGTCTATTCAAGAGCTCTAGGGGTTAGTCAGTAGAAATTTATGTTTAAGATACCGGTAAAAATGCTCTGAAATGAAATCATTCAGTTGGGAAGAAGTTATTGGCTTTTGGTGTAAAGAATAGACCTGTACGTGCTGAGCTTAGTATATTTTTCTGTTTTCATTTTGTAATCTGTAGACGGAGTTCATGAAATGATGAAAAAGTCAGATAGAATTGTCTATTCAAGAGCACTAGGGGTTAATCATTAGTCTCTAGAAGCAGTTGTTACAATGCCGGCAAGATTTCCTTTTGGAAAAAGACAGACAGTTTATGTCTCAGTTGTAATCAGATGGTGATTGGTCAGGCTCCTCTAGATGAGCCAGTTTGTCATGACAGCCGTTCTGGCGCATTGATTCCGCAGTAGTCAGACATTAGGTCTCTCCACACAGACCTTTATACAGCTTTTGAAACTACTTGCCAAGATTGAGTTTTAACGCGAGGAAGCTACGACATGCCGCACTTAGCGATGCATGGGAGTTGGATAAATGGAGAGATAGCTGCCCATTGGCTAAGCCTGAGAGCCTTTTCCCGGCCACAGAATCATTGCACCACGTCTGGAAATCCATGCAGCGATAAATATCGATGTGAAGTATAACTCTCTGATTAGATATTATTGCTCCGTCGCATGATTAAGCTGTGTTTGTTTGACAAAAGGCAAGGGCACGTCAAAGGCACTGATTTTCATTTTTTTTATTGAGAAAGCAGCATTTCTTTTCTTTCTTTATTCTTTATTTCAAGTAAAAAAGAACCCATAAAACACAGTACATCTTAAGATAATACAAAACTCTAGAGACATACAAATAATATGGAAAATACCTCGGAGGAAACAGTTTGTGTAAAAGCCGTCAGATCTTAGTAAGCGAATGATGATTGAGTTATGGGAAGAAAATAATCGCTTTAAGAAAGAGTAACAAATCCAATGTGTCGGCATTGTAGTATTGGTAGGAGGGATCCCGATAGTCTGCATTCCTCCCGCCCCTCCCCATGAAATTATAGCCTGTTGCCTAACAAAACAAGTATGCATGCTGATAAGGGTGGCAAACTGTTCCCTGACCCATAGTAGTCTGGCTTTTCTCCCTAATACAATGGGTAGCCAGGATGTTATTAGAAGGGAGTCTAACGTTGTAAGACAAGACATTCTTGCCAGATAGCTGAAACTGGAATGTAGAAAATATAGACAATCAGAACCTACGAATTAGACTCAGCTATTCCGTAAGCCATATGCTAGGCTAAATTGGCTTTCTTGAACAGAAATATTGACAATTATACAGGATAAATGCTTTTTGGCTACAAAGATTTATTCAGTTACTGACAATTCCAAATTTTACACAAATTTTCTTCTGAAAGACATGAAAAAACTAAAATAAATATTCTTAAAACAATCATCGACTGGCTTGCAAAAATATTGTATTCAGTCAGCTATTCACAAAGTTGTTCCATGTAGTAGACTAATTTCTGTTCTCGCAACAGAAGTATAGAAGTGAAAGGCATAGATAATGTATATTGTCTGTTGTCAAGTCATTCAGCCATTCATGAATTCTAGACCAATGGCCTTTCCTTCTTCTGCTGAAATCTTGATTGAGTTGTCTCTGTTCTCCACAGGACCTGTACTGTGTGCGGAGCGACCTGGGAAATCTACTGAAGGCGCTGGGGAGACTGGACGAGGCCAAGGTACATCCAGCCGGCTGAGTATTAAACACTGTACAGATCATGCCCCCCACCCCACCCCAAAGGAGACGCTGCCATTTCAAGCTCCTGCTATCAGCAGGCTCGAAAAGAAAAAGTATTAAAACTACAGTAAATCAATTAGAAGCAAGCTGATTACTAAGATAAGCCTAGAATATAACTTTGCTCCAGAAATTTATGTTTTTAGATAAAATGCTCTGAAATGAAAAAGCATTTAGTTGGGAAGAAATTATTGGCTTTTGGTGTAAAGAATAGACCTGTAGGTGCAGAGCTTAGTATATTTTTCTGTTTTCATTTTGTAATCTGTAGAGGGAGATTTTTTTTAAAGGGAATTTTGAAACTGCATTTAGAAGTTTTCTGTTTGGCCAAGGCAGCTGTCCTTTTGGGGTTTCTTAGCAGGTGATGTGTGTAGGAAAGCTCAAAGATTGGTTGTCTGCCTGCTGCATGCGGTTGTGTTTTTTTTTTAGCTGCCCCACCAGTCAAGAGATTGGCTGGTTTGTGCACATGTATTACCATGGCGAGCGTATGCGTAACATTGGTTGGGCTGCATGGTTTCCCTTTCTGAACACATTCAGGATGTAGTCAAGAGAAACATGTCACCCTGGGCTACATTTAAGCTAGACGCGCTACGTGAAAACCTCCCGAAAACCTGCTGCGTATTTGACCATTTTTGGTTAGGTAAGGACCCCTTTAAATGAAGCCCAGGACTGTCTTGTATTGCGTTTTAAGAGGCCAGCTAGACGGCGGGTGTTGCAACATGCCTCGGTGTAAATGTCTAGCTGGCCGTGCGCGGTGCATTTTGTGATGTCTGGTGGCTGGATTGTAGCTGTAAAACAAATATTTCTCAGGTTTTGATGTTGTTTTTGGTGGATGGTTTTACGTCCTAACTATCATTTGTGAAAGAACTGTAGATGTTTGTATGAAAGATCAGCACCATTGTCCAGCCACCAGTGCGACCTTGCGCGAGCAGCGACCCCCCGCGCGCCTTTCCAGGGCAGCTCTTTGGACATTGAGGAGATGAGGTGTCAACGACCCCTACCCCACCCCACGAAGGCCCATTCTTGTGGCAAGGAAAGCGAGAGAAAGACTGTAAAAGTAGTCTTCCTGCCAATCTGTTGAGGAAGGGAAATCATGGCAGCGATATGGAATAGTTGTCCCATGCAGCATGCAGTTAATCTTTGAGCTTTCACGGTGTGTTTCACATAGCTTTTACGTTATCAGTTGTACAGTCCAAACTCTTTCCCAAGCAGAGAAGTGGCAGACAAACTGAGAAAAATTGCTCACATCACACAGAAAATTTCTACTTTTGTTGTATTCCAAAGAAATTCTTTTATGCCACGACTAGATATTTTAGGCACACTTTATGTGAGGCAAAGCAAAGTCATTTCCCTGCTTCTAAAGCAGTTTGGACTTGCATTGTTTTTTCTCTCACAACAAATACTAACTACATCTCTCAATTTCTTTCCCCCTGACTTTTATATCCATGCTTTGACTAGACTAGGTATAGAGGGGTGCAATAAGTGCCGCAGAAAACGCAAAGGGGAGTACCAATTGCGCCGAGCGACTCCAAGAGCGGCGTCACCGGTCCGTGTTGTGTGGTGGGTTTGTGCAAGATCATGTTTCTACCATTTCACATCTTCCCTCAACCCCTACCCCCAGCGTACGGACGTAAGGATCTGTCAGAATGTATATTTATATATACATATATTTTATATTTTTTCTGCATGGAATGTAAATGATACTGGTATTTATGAAAAAGTGCCTTGTTAGTGATGACAAAGTTCGGCCCCCCCTCCCTGTCGAAAGTTATTGTATATATGTGTTGGACGAGGTACAACAAATGCTAACAATTTATGAAATTGTAGGTTTTTACATTGATTTCAGATATTCTCACGATAATGTCTTTCTCTCGTTAACTGAATAGTTTAGAGGGATTGATTTCTTGCAGAGTGTCATGCCACTTTCATTGCGCAGCGTAGAAACGCGCGTTACTGTCTAATTGAAGTTAGGGTGGTTAGGTTTAGCACAGTAGCGCGGGGCAAGGCAGCGTCAGCAGTTGCTCTTTGTTACTTCTAGGCCAGGACTTGCTAATGTCTTCTCTCTTCCAGGTGTTGACCGCAAAAGCAGTCTTTGTCAATCCCTTTATTTTTCAGCTCTAAAAGTCCACTTTGGAGACGGCAGGGCACCAGGCGATAGAAAACATGAGCAGGTCTTGCGAAGGCAAAGTGGAAACAATGAGCAATGTGTCCGGCGTGCGCGGCAGCGATGGTGCGCGATGCAGAGCATGGGGACACATGTACAAAGTTCTACGACAAAATACCACCACCAAAACATGGTCGTCTTTTTCTTAGCCCAAGATCTGTGAAGTACAGTGTTTCTAATCTTTCAGTTGAAAAACGCACAGTGGACCACTTTGTACATGACATGCAAGCAGCAAGCTTTTGACTTAGGCAAAGGCATGTCCTTTTTCAGTGTGCACAGCACTCAAAATTGTTTCTCAGAAAACATTGTCTTAAGTCTTTTTTTGTTTGTTTGTTTCATTTGTCAACTTGTTGTGTTGACAGTCAACTTGATGACTTTTTGCTGAAGCACATCACAAAGGTCATGCTGGTGCAGTCATTGCGGCGCGTTGGGTCGAAGTGCGCGTAGGTCTGTTGCATTCAGGCGTAGAAGGTAGACAGGGCAGGAGCGCGCTAAGTTGCAGGATAGGTAGTGGCGCGCCATCCCCACCAAAAGTCCCCCGACTGACAATGTATTTTTCTGCCATTTCCTTCCTCCCCCTCTCTTGCCATGTGTGCATGGCACGTTGTTTTGCCATCTCCTCCCCTCCCCCCTTCCTACTGCCGATGTGCCGCTGCCCACCCACCAGGCCTGCTACCTGAAGGCCATCGAGACACAACCAAACTTCGCTGTGGCCTGGAGCAACCTGGGCTGCGTCTTCAATGCCCAGAGCGAGATCTGGCTGGCCATTCACCACTTTGAAAAGGTAAGAGAAAAAAATTAGCCTCAGACAGTACTCTTGATTACTCTCTAACTCTCTAACAATAACTTATGAGAGCCTTAATCAGGTAATGTGGCACCTTGCCATAATTATGGTACAAAGTTTGAGATGTGAAAAAAAACTGTCATTGAGAATATAGCAAGAACAAAACATTTTGACCAGAGGTTCAAAAACGAGGCAATCTTGTCTATAGTTGCATGAACTAATAATGTATGTACTCTACAAGGGTCAACTTCGAAATAACGTCACTTTTTTTTTTCATAATACATAACTTGGAGACGTTTCCATTTTGATGCGTGGATGAAGGACCCAAGTGCTCGTTACAATACCCCATTATTACCGCAGCCCCTAAAATCAATACAAAATAGATTCGGGCAAAATTGCAAGCACGGCGGCGCAAGGAATCATTCCTTTTATGGAGAGGAGAAATCATGGCCCAGAGATATGGACTCAGACCTGGCTATTCCATCACAGACATGATGCTTCTGTAGATAGTGGTAGGGCATGATGAACTTGAATGAACCTTCTTAACATTCTATTGCTTCATTTCTTTTACTTGTGAGCCATTGGGACTTATTAACGTCACCATTTATCCTCGAGGAATGCCTTTCTTTGGTAGGTTCCCCACTTTGGTATTCACGCGGGCGTTACACACCGACATAAAAATGGAAGACCGTGTCACGTAAAATTGTGTTGTTAAGCTTGAAGGGCCCGGTTCAATACCCAATTTGAATATTCATCCATCCTGGAGGAGAACAGAGAAGGTGTGGGGAGGTAATTCACCCCCGAAGTATCCTGAAAGCTGTAGTCAGGGCCGAGTCTATGGGAGATAAATAAAGCTATTGGGCAAGTCAGATCCATTAGTGGGGAGTAGGCATGGGAGCTGTATGGATGGCTTTGACCTTCATAGGTCAACATCACGGGCGACTATCAGTCAAGTAGGCAGGTAAGATGTAGATTTAAGCCCATCAGTCGCCTGACTTGGATAGGTCAGCCTATGGATGGAAAAAGAATCATAGATTGAGACATAGTTTTCATTTTAAGCAATATATTTCTCATTTTAAGAAATTATGACATCCCAAGATCAATTAACTTTAAGTCTTAGAGAAGGAATATACCAATATTGTAGTCACTTGTGTCAGAATGTAAAAAAAAATGCACAAGTTTGATAGATATCTCTCATTGGTTGGGCTGTTAATTTTGATGGACAGCCAGGATCAGTCTATTGAATAGGTGGTTTGGGGGGAGGCAGCATTTGCTGGATTTTACAGGAAGAACATTTTGAGTAACTCTCATCAGTGTAAAGAACAGATCATCAGCAATTTCAGTACACTAAACATACTGAAAATTTCTGTGCCCTCTCTCCAAAAGTAAGTTGATCTTAAAGGTGAACATTACGCTTCGCTTGGCATTGGCCATGATCCAGAGCATTTACCTTGAAAACCTGACTAACTGTGCATGCACATCCTCGTGCCATGTGGTTCACCTATCTGATGGAAAATGAACAGTAATTTGCGATGACTTCATTAGACCGCAAAATTTCTCCGTGAAGCAACAATCACATCCTGGGTTCAACCATCATAATTATCTGCCATTGAAATAACCATGTTTCACAGCAGAATCTTGACAGTCAATTAGCCGCAATCCAGGTTATCCTTCATCAGCTTAGAGTGCACTTCCCTTCATTGTGACGAACCGACAGAGTTCAGGCTTGCAGGCAGTTGTTAAGTGGGACTCGGAGTAAAACCACCGATCAAAGCTGTCAAGCATGCTGGCGCGGCGACTGGGTGGTATTTTTGCTTCACCGGAAAGTTTCAAGCTCAGCCGTATTCCAACCGCGAACATTCCATCATAGAGGATATATTAGCCTCCAGAGGATGCACTGCTCAAGTGTGAAAAGTCATCTTGTAGCAGCATGGGAGGGCGGTCTGTGATTAGGGATGGGGATTGGTCCTAAACTGGCCATCAGGAGTTATTAACCTGTCATTTGCCGCTGGCCATGTCCCCAGAGGACGGTAGGATAAGACGCCCCATCTGTGGCATCTCTACTTCCTGGAACATCCCATGGACAGGGACCGGCTTTCAAGGATGACAATCGATTGAGAATAACGCAAACGTTAGATGTGCCGATACCGCCGTCTTTTGGCAGTCCTCCCTCAGGAGACAATTGTTGCGCACACCAACATTGCGGCAGCCTGGAGAGACCAACATTCATAGCTGCTAGAAATTAGAATCTAGCGCAAACTTAGCCGATGTTCCCATGTCGGATCTATCCTAACGAATCAGAAGCAAGAAGGAAACTGCGAAGGGACCTGAAGGAGCAGATATTGAATTCAGTCAAGAAATGTCATCGGGGCAGCCAAGACATTTACAGAAGAGGAGCTTACTGTATGTGCTATACTTACAGGTTTATGTGACCCTGTATGAGTGGCTAAGTGTGATGAAATGGTTTTTCTTCCAGGCCGTCCAGCTAGACCCCAACTTCTTGGACGCTTACATCAACCTCGGCAACGTGCTGAAAGAGGCACGAATCTTTGACAGGTAAGATTCATCTATAATATTCCACAATTCCGATGACTATTGTATAAAGAATATTTGAGATGAAAATAGATTTTGGGTGAGTTATGACTTGGTAGGTACATGTACATATATCTGGCCTTGGTCCAAAGCCACTTTCCAATTGCCAGTAGCAATCAGCATTCTGTCATCAATCAATTCACCATGTTGTAATCGATATCACCAAATTCAATGCTGAAGTGCTAGGGAGGAGAAAATTTAAGAACACCTTTTTTTTCTTATTGTTTGATTTGGCTATTAGGCCACACCAATTTAATTTAACAGATTTTTCTAGAAAAATAATGGAGCGGGTGGGCGAAAAAAATAAAAACAGGCCTAGGCATCCATCCTATTATGGCCCAAAATGGTACGATAGGAGCCATGAAGTCAACACATCAGGCTGGTTCAAAATCTAAACAAAGGATTTTGAACTTTTAATGATACCACTGCATTGAAAGATGGAATAACTAACAACTAGGAAGAAAAGGACTGTTTTCAACTGTTCAGGGCAAAATATGATCATTTTGCAGTTGATTCTGAATTTTTTTTTTGCAAATCAGAAAAAAATGAAGCGGGCGAATCCGTTAACCAAGAAATTAAATTGGTGTGGCCTTACACAAGGTCATTTACCAAGAGCAGTATTACTCAAAATGTTGACAACAGATGTAAGACTAGAACTAGAAGAAGAGTCAGTGTAGTAGTCTTAACCATTATGTAAGGTGGCATCACCATAGCCATGCCTTCAAGTACCAGAGTTATCAACCAAGGATTGAGGTGTTCAAGAATTCATTCTTTCCTAGAACTATTGCAGAGTGGAACTTACTGTCACCAAGTACAGTAGGGGCATTGTCAATAGATAGCTTTAAACAATGTCTAGAGCTAGAAGTTCAAGGGTTAGGTGTAACAAGTCAATCAGTGTAATATAGCCAGCTGCCGCCGCGCCGCGTGCCTGCAAAGCTGGTGTGTTACACCGAAAGGCGGTTATACCGGCTATACAGATACAGATACAGATACCATATTGTTGCACAATGTATGCAAACCTCGTATGCCACCATTCTGTGATTAACACAAGAGGATGAGATAATTGCATTGGTGGAGGAATTTTGAATGGTTAATTACTACATGTCCCGATCTGAAGTAATTACCAAAATTTCCCTGGGGTAGTCAACATTATAATTGTATAACCATAAGTCAGAAGGATCTAGGAATAATGCCAGTGTGAAAGCAAAGTGTAACATTTATAACTTTGAACCAGGTATAAGATAATTTTGACATGTTATTTTTGGAAATGAAGAATTACCCTTGTACTGTATTTGGCAAGAATATGACTTTTCACCAGGATGTGTTAAAGACATTGGAAGTTCTCTGCTTTCAGGCTCTTTAGTAAGGGTTTCCTAAGTTTGTTTCTAAAAATTGTGACAGGCCATCAACATGTGTTCTATTGTTACAAATTGTTGCTGAAGAATAAATTGTCCTTAGAAGTAGTTCCTGTCCTCACATAATGACTTTCCTACCATGTCTGTCATATAGCCAGGTGGCTACGCTCACTCGGTGGTTTTATTCGGTGGTTATAGCACCTGCCAAGGCATTATCACACCATATACACCTACCATGTCTGTATTGATGATTTTTTTGTCCCCTATGCAGAGCTGCAGTAGCATACCTGCGAGCACTCCAACTCAGCCCTAACCATGCTATTGTACATGCCAACCTAGCCTGTGTGTACTACGAACAAGGGTAAGTTTACACCTCCAAATGTAGAGACTAGTATATATTTAACTTTATATTCGCAAAATCATGCCCGAAGGCTAATTGCTTTTACAATCAAGTATAATACTCATTGCAATACAGTAACAGGAGACGGGTAACAACTGTCTGAAAAAACTTCTACTTCTACTGCTACGCTAGCTATCATATATGGGGTTTGACTTCTTCTTTGAAGGCAGTGGATAGTGAATAGTCCCACATTCTGCATAATTAGTGGGTTTTGTGATCTTAGTAGAAATGCAGTTTTTTGGTGATCTTCTAAGTGACGAAAGGATGGAAAAATTGTTGTAACTGTCTGAAATAATCTGTTTCTTTCGGTCTCATAGTGAGGACAAAATGTATATCATTACCTTCGCCAAGAAGGTTATGTTTTCGTTGGCGTTCGTGTGTCTGTGTGTGTGTGTGTGTGTGTGTGTGAGCACGATAACTCAAGAAGGCTAAGATGAATTGTCTTGATACTTGGTAGGTGGGTAGGTCTTCATGAGACGTGGAACTGATTAGATTTTGGGCCCCCTAACGGCTTGTTATGGTACTGCAGCTGAACTTCCTGTTTTGATATCTCGTGATCTAGACATGCTAGGGTGACGAAATTTGGATGGTAGGTAGCTCTTGTGCTGGGGAACAAGTGACATGAGTTTGGACCCCCTAGCGGCTTGCTCTGGAATTGCAGGGGCATTAGTTGAAAAATGTTTAAAGGCGGATAACTCAAGAACTGATTGATGGATCGTCATGATTTTTGGCATGTAGGTAGCTGAAGTGATGCTTGACATAGTGTTATTACAATTATGCAAATATTAATGTAATTTGCATAATTAATGAGGAAATTCTATATATCAGCTGCATTCCATGATAGGACTATTCAAGCTTGTGATATATGTAATGCAGAACGGCAGAAATACAGGCAGATATCGATTATGCAGATGAGGACTTACTTTGCATAATTAACGAGAAAATGTTATAATTACATAGTGGTAATGTCTGGAATTTCATACTTGGGATATTTGAAAGTTATGTGAAGGTGAACTTTATTAAACATAATTTATTCAAATAAGGACCTCATTTGCATAATTTATGAAGACATGCTATAATGGCATGCATTGATAAGATAAGACTGTCTTCTGGTGTAGAATATGATCAACAGATATAATTGATGCAATATAGGATCCTATTCGCACAATCAGGGGGATTCATCTATAATTTCTTAGTCATAAAGGCTAACATCATTTGGCGAAGGTATGAGATCGTGGAACTCTAGTTTTCCACTGCATTCATTGTACAATATTTACATAATCTCTCGTGCACAGGTAGTTTTCTATAGCGTCCATTTTCTATCTCTAGTGGAAAATATATGTGTACCAATTATGTGTGTGTGGCATTGGTGGTGCAACAGTTAGAGCGTTGGACTCGGAAGCAATACTATGGCAATAGATTTTTGGTTCAATACTGTGGCCCGACGTTGTGCCCTTGAGAAAGACACTTTACATGACTTTCCCACCTTGTACGGTGGAGTGACACCCACCGAGCCTCTTAGGCTAATCTGTCTAACTGTGTGCCAAAAACACACTACGGATTTGGTGTGCCAATGTGTCAACATCAGCACATTTGCCACCGAGAGTCAAATTTTTTTATTAAATTATGTGTGTGAAAGTATTTCACTGCACTTCTGTCAGACAAGTAAATGTCGAAACATTGTTTGTTGTTGTACTTGCCATTGTGTATAGATACACAAAAGTAAACCTGTTGCACTGTGTGTTGGCAAAGTTGTTGACGATGATGATAGCTTTATGAATTTTTAATGTAGATGCCAGGAACGTAATCTAGACTTAGTATATCAGCATCATATCAGCATGCATGGCATGGCCAGCCAAGGCAATGAAACGTCTGCATTATGATTACTATCCAGGATCAAAATTGGAAAGGGAGATTTAATTTGCCTTGCAGTGGTCTCGGTGACCCCTAGAGAATTGTTGGGGAGGGCTGCGGGGATTTATTTCTACTTTGAATATTAATAAATCAATTTGATATGGAATATGGTGTAATTGTTAGATTGGTAGGATGTTTTCAGAGGTAGATACCTATTTCCTTCTTTTCTTCTCAGTTGCATTTGTCTTTTTTTTCTGTGTTTGGTTATTTAAAACAGAATTAAGGAAGGGGGGCTTCGGCACTAATTCTTTCCCGACTTGAAAGGAAACTGTTATCAGAGTGTACTCTAATGTATCGATTGGGGTAGAGCCCTCGGGACGCAATGAAAGTCCGGTCAATTGGCTAAATGTCCAAGTATGGATTTTATATCAGTCAAGTTCTGGGTTTATTTGCACCATGCTGTCTTTAACAAGGATCTGTAGCCAGATATTGAGTGTGCCATGGGGAAGCTAGCAGCTTGGTTTTGGTGGTAACTGTTGTTGGCTTTGCTTAAGGAAAATGTGGAAAACGTAGTGCTGCTTATCAGTTGTACTGGTCTGTAGTTTTGAAAAAAGAGGAAAGAAGATAGTTTGCAGGGTTCTAGCTAGGATTTAATTTTAGCGTAGCGGTACTGAGAGGGGGGATGGGGCAGAGCTTTTAAAAATCGACCTAAAAAGGGACCATTTGAGGGATACCCAAAGGGAAAAAATGTTATTTCTAAGGTATGTACAATGTATCCGTGATTGGTAATTTTCCACATTTGATCTGCCATTCTTGAACAAAGAAATTCAGTCACAATGCCCCTATGCTGTATCAGGGTTCTCACCAGGATTTTTTCACAGTGTAGGGGTCAGGCATAGAAGGGCAACTTTCTGCGGCGCGAGTCGCGCATCGAGATCCCCAAAACATGGGTCTGATATTCTCCCCCCAAAATTTTGTAACTCATATTAACCACTTAAGACACTATTTATTGTTTATTGGGGGTCAGATTTTGTTTTTCCTTTGTTATAGCTTCATTCTTAAGTTGAATTTTCCTTTTTTTAAAGATTAATGAAGCTTCTGCCCCCAAAAACCACCCCTACGCTGGTTGAAACACAGTGTAGGGGGCTAAATCACAGCGTAGGGGGTCAAAATCACAGCGTAGGGGGCCCCTACGCTCAAACAGCCTGGTGAGAACTATGCTGTATTGAAAATTTAGCATAGGGGGTGAAAATTATAGCGTAGGGGGGGAAATTTAGCGAAGGGGGGGGAAATTATAGCGCAGGGGGCCCCTACGCTACGTCGCGCTGGCTAGAACCCTGGTTGGTAGCAAATTCTACTCTCAGCTTCTAACTTGCCGTGTGTGCTCTTCGGGTGGATACAAAAGAATGCAATTGTTGATAAAACCTGAATGTTTACCTCTGTGTTCTTTTTTGCCCATGTAGGTTGATCGACTTGGCAATTGACACATACCGGCGCGCCATTGAGCTACAGCCCCACTTCCCAGATGCTTACTGCAACCTGGCCAATGCCCTCAAGGAACAGGGCAAGGTATGCATGTCTGATAACAACAGTCAATAGAAAATATTGGCAAACCTCAGCTTAAGTCTGTCAGTCAAGCATTGAGTGTAGAACTATGATAGATGATAAATTCATGTTCAACATGGGGATCACATGTACCAAGACTTGCCCAGAAGCAGTGTTCATTGGCAGGCTTGACATCATGTAAACATGTTTTTTTAGGCCAAACCAATTTAATTTGTTGTTTCTCGGATTTTTTCAGAAAAAACATGAAGCGACAGGGCGAAATAAAAATTTTAAAAAATGCCAAGGCACCCCATGATAGCCGGAAATGTTACGATGTGAGCCATGAAGTCAACACACCAGGCTGGTTTATAATTAAAACAATAGATTTTGAAATTTTTATGAAACAAAATTGCATTGTTACATTGAAAAACTTTAAGTACAAGGGAGAAAAGGACTTTCTTCAACCGTTGGGGTTAAAATATGTCTTTCATTGAGCATTTTGCAGTTAATTTAGAACCGAAAAAATTTTTTTTTTTTTTTGCAAATCAGAAAAAAATGGACAGGGCGATCCGAGAAGCAACAACTTAAACTGGTGTGGCCTTAGCATTACGATCACCTTATGGGGTAAAATGGTTGGCAGGCAACTGTAGGGACACAAAGCTGTGCTTGTTGTTATGTCCCCAGCCTACTACAGGCCTTCAGATCAAGGAGATCAAGGCTTACAGTGAGATATGTCCAGAATGCACTCACTTGGCCTCCCTCCAGGGTTGAAAACCTTCCAAACTTGTTGCCACCTTCACATATATGTGACCAAAGTACTGTGTATTGTAGAACCTTCTGTAGAGACTTTAAGAATCATGACATCTGTGGACGACACAGATGCCACAATGTTGATGGCTCTTCTTCGAGCTGGTGTCTTGAAGAGAAGACTTAAGTACAAGTCGTGTCACTTCCAGGTGGCGGAGTCGGAAGAGTGTTACAATACGGCCCTACAACTGTCGCCCACCCATGCCGACTCACTCAACAACCTGGCCAACATCAAGCGAGAACAAGGCTGCACAGAGGAGGCCGTCAAGCTGTACTGTAAAGCCTTGGAGGTACAATTTTTTTCAGTCATTTCCGTAAAGCTTTGGAGGTACAGTTTTTTTCAGTCATTTCCATAAAGCCTTGGAGGTACAATTTTTTTCAGTCATTTCCGTCCCGTGGGCTCTCCTTTTGACATACATCTGGTCTACATCTGGAATGCAAGGATGTGGATTTGTTTTGCACTCAAGAACGCCTAGTGATTATTAGTTAAAGTATGTACCATGCCAAGTGTCACTCAAACATGCTAGACATTTGTTTGGCATTAGTAATTTGGAATTCCAAGCTAGACTTCCAAAGGTTTTAAGACAAGGATTCTTTACATAGGAAATGGAGTTTAACTTGAAAATGGCTGACAGAAGATAGCTTTGTCTATACCAAAAGTTTGAGAAAGATTCACTGTAAAGCTCTCGTGGTTGCTGTAAACTCATTACAAAGGTTCTACCATTGTTATGATGTTTTGATAGGAACCGTCAAGGTTATACTAAGTACCTGTGTAATGCCTTCCAGGTGTTCCCTGAGTTTGCTGCTGCCCACTCCAACCTTGCCAGCGTGCTGCAACAACAAGGCAAGCTGCAAGAGGCGCTCATGCACTACAAGGAAGCTATCAGGTCTTTGTCTTTACCATTTTTGGCCATCACTGTGCTTTTCTGTCATTTGACTTTGAGCCGTTTTTGTCTGAAGATCATGATTGTGGTTTTGGTGTTACTGTAGTTGATTTGTAAGGTGGTTATGACCATGAAGAGCACTGTGACTACTAGTGATGCATACCGGTTCACTGGACTTGGATCCAGACTTGTAAGAATGTTTAGGTTCAAGTAAAAAAAAACTTAAAGTCAAGAACCGAGTCCGGACTTATTACCATAAAAGACCATTTCACATACCCCTTTTCTTTCCAAACCACCTAAAACCTTCCGTAAATTGTAAAATCTTTGCTGCAAAACGAAGAAAACATTGCCATCGGGCATCGTCAAGTACCGGCCTCCATGTTATGTGGCCATGGCCAAAGTTTCACCCAGACAACATTGCAAGGTTGCCAACATGCAATTTTGTATATGCCATGGGTTTAGGTGAACCTAAACCTCTGGACTTGAATCCGGACCTGAACCTAAAATTGGGTTTAGGTATGCATCACTAGTGACTGCTGTAAATCTTGAATTGTTTGCAGTGTTTTTAAGTTAGCTGTTTCTACTGTGACCTCGAACCATGAATTCATTATACAGCAAACATTTGTTCTGTATTCCAAAGTTACTGCCTCCGAGCACTACAACAAAGACGTTCTTGTTTTTGGCATTGTCACAAAGTCTAAGTTGCATGAACTGAATCTACAGTAACATCTATCTTGAGGAAAAAATTCGCTAATTTTTGTTCCTTTTTCCCACAGGATTGCGCCCACCTTTGCAGATGCGTACTCCAACATGGGGAATGCTCTGAAGGAAATGCAGGACATCCAGGGAGCCATGCAGTGTTACACCCGTGCCATCCAAATCAACCCAGCCTTCGCTGATGCACATAGCAACCTAGCGTCAATCCACAAGGTCCATACACCTTTGTGTTTTCTCTTTCAACTTTAGATAGTACACATCTAAATTGTTTATTCTAAATCAAAAATCCCTTCAGCTAAGAGGCGCTTAATTTTGTCTTGTATCAGCTAGATTTTGTCAGAAAATTTTGTCTTGTATCAGCTAGATTTTGTCAGAAAATTTTGTCTTGTATCAGCTAGATTTTGTCAGAAAATTTTGTCTTCTATCAGCTAGATTTTGTCAGAAAATTTTGTCTTCTATCAGCTAGATTTTGTCAGAAAATTTTGTCTTCTATCAGCTAGATTTTGTCAGAAAATTTTGTCTTCTATCAGCTAGATTTTGTCAGAAAATTTTGTCTTCTATCAGCTAGATTTTGTCAGAAAATTTTGTCTTCTATCAGCTAGATTTTGTCAGAAAATTTTGTCTTCTATCAGCTAGATTTTGTCAGAAAATTTTGTCTTCTATCAGCTAGATTTTGTCCTGGAGTCAAGTACATGTATACCCAAAAGTTGACCTTCATTCTTTGAGTCTCCATCTGTTAACAGCTATCCAGTCCTGATTTTTTCAGTTGTGAAAAAAATCATAATGTTCAAACTTGATGTGAAATCAGTTTTGAATGACCTGTAAGAAGGCTGTTGTTTGAAAGTCTAACTTTTATTACTCTGTGTTCTCCCAGGATTCTGGCCAGATCCCAGAAGCCATTGCCTCCTACAGAACTGCGCTGAAGTTGAAACCGGACTTCCCCGACGCTTACTGCAACCTGGCCCACTGCCTACAGATTGTCTGTGATTGGACGGACTATAACGCTCGCATGAAGAAGCTTGTAGCGATCGTAGCGGACCAGCTGGACAAGAACCGTCTGCCGTCTGTCCACCCCCACCACAGCATGCTATACCCGCTGTCCCACGCCTTCCGGAAGGCCATAGCAGCACGTCACGGGAACTTGTGCCTGGAGAAGGTATGGACACTCGTCTTAGCTTTAAACAGCACGTCGGCAGAACGTACTGCATTTGCATGAAATCATGTAATGTAGCACATCGACACAACGTCTCATATAAGGTTGTATTCACGCATTTAAGGGTAACACTCTGTCTGTAGTTTTCAAATGTTATGTTGGACAAAATATCGTCTGCTACAGGCAAAATTTTGATGCAACGTTGACCAAAAATCCAACGAAAACCGTGAAAAATCAGGGTTTAGCGCAGGCACAGTACGTTCTGCCGACGTGCTCTCGTCTTAGCCTTTAACACACTAGTCGTTTACAAATATTCTCTATTGGTTACAGGGTTAGGCAGCAGGAGAAATTTCAATTTTCCGTGTTACTGTACAAAGACTACTTTAAAAGCTTCATCCTCCCTACATATTCAAACCTATACAGGCAGTCAAGGTGCATGTACAAAATTGTCAGTGTTATTAGATAAGAAACTGATTATAAGGTGTACGCAGTGAGAGTTACAAACAAGAATTTGTCATGTTTAAAGTTAAAACTTTTGGTCCAACACAAAAAATTCTCTCACCTAGAGCTTTTGACCAGTCACTCTGGTCTTCCTCAGTAGACTGACCCAGTGAAGCTTGTCACGTGGCTTCTTTGAAGTGTGACGTCAACACTGGGTCAAAGGTATCTGGTAGACGATGTCGGCCCCCGTCGCGGTTCAATGTAGGGTGATGTGCCCTGATGCATATGGCTTCCTTCACCCCTCTCAAGAAATAGTCTCGTTCAGTGTCTAAAATCCTTACAGTGTCAAGTGAAACAAAATGTCCGGGTGACTCTACATGTATGTGGATGTGTTGAGACACCTCTGAACTGGCAGAGCTAGGCCGTGTATGTTCTTGAAACCTGGCTTTTAGAATTTGTCATTTCTTGTATGCCACAAATTAGAGACTTAAATCTGTGATTTCTCCACCAGATCAATGTTCTGCACAAGCCACCCTACGACCACCCCAAGGACCTGGTACTCAGCAAGGGGCGTCTGAGGATAGGCTATGTCAGCTCCGACTTCGGGAACCACCCCACCTCCCACCTCATGCAGAGTATTCCTGGCTTCCACAACAAGGAAAATGTCGAGGTAAGGCCACACCAATTTAATTTCTTGGTTAACAGATTCGCCGTTTCATTTTTTTCTGATTTGCAAATAAAAATAAAAATTCAGAATCAACTGCAAAATGCCCATAGTTTGCCCTGAACAGTTGAAAACAGTCCTTTTCATCCTAGTTTTTAGAGTTATTCCATCTTTCAATGCAGTGGTATCATTAAAAGTTCAAAATTCATTGTTTACATTTTGAACCAGCCTGGTGTGTTGACTTCATGGCTCCTATTGTACCAATTTGGGCCATAATAGGATGCCTAGGCTTGTTTTTATTTTTTTTCGCCCGCCCGCTCCATTATTTTTCTGGAAAAATCCGTTAACCAAGAAATTAAATTGGTGTGGCCTAAGGTTCCACTAACTCTTTGCTTTAAAACCAGTGCTACAGAGTAAAGAGACTCTTTTCACACAACCAAGTCTTTTACTCAACCCTCCTCAGGGCAATTCTGGCTGCTTCACATTGCATTGCAGCACAGGTGTCGCTGCTACAGATGCATTCTCAAACGTACAATATTTACATATCTACACATATGCGTGATTGGATTACAGGAAAATGTATCTACAATGAGTCGGCTGATTAAAAGACTTGGTTGTGTAAAAAGAGTGTCTTTACTCGGTGTCTTACCAACCTGAAACTATTCACGAACCAGTGCTACAGTAGTTCTAAACATCTGAAGAGGAGCTTCCAAATTGTTATAAAGTAGTCCATTCCCAGTATGTATATTTTGGTAGCAAGCTGAAGTAAAATAAGGTTTGTAAAATCATGGGAACAAGTGATGAGACGTGAGACCAAGTAAATTTTATGGATGACATCCTTTGGAGACCCTAAATCTAATGCAAGAGGCTGGAAAAAAAACAGAAGGGCCCTAAAAAACAAGATGCCTAGATAAGAAATATTGCACTGCTGACAGGACCGTCCTGTCTGTTAATAGTTCCAAAAATGGCACTGTTTTGGAACTATTGATAGGATTTTTTTCAGTGCCATTTTGTTTGTTTTTTCATTTTTGTTTTCATTTTTTTAACCAGGCACAGGCTTTCGGCGTTACGGTTTTCACGTCAATCTGACGATTTGCGGCACTGTCTACTCTGGCATATCATCAGTGTGAATTTATCAAAAGACTCATGAGAACTTCATTCCGCTTTGTCCAGGTGTTCTGCTATGCTCTGAGTCCGGATGACGGCACCACATTCCGAGCCAAGATCCTGAAGGAGTCGGAGCACTTTGTGGACCTGTCGCAGATCCCCTGTAACGGGAAGGCTGCCGACCGCATCCACCAAGATGGCATCCACATCCTGGTCAACATGAACGGATACACCAAGGGCGCTCGTAATGAGATCTTCGCATTGAGACCTGCACCCATCCAGGTGAGGATTTTTTGCTAGGGAATGACAAAGAGAATGGACCTATACCATTATTACGTCACAGTTTGTTTACCTGTTCTAAAGAATATTCTAGAACGGTCAGTTAAAGAATAGAGATCATTTCAAAGTTTTCAAAGTCAGGTATGTTTGATTTTTACTGCGTCTAGTCTTGTTGACACAGCATAACATGCCGTAATGGGTGATTTAGTTGTGACATTAGACGAAAGTAGTACTGTATACAGGCCTTATATTAAGTCTAACGCTACACAAACACACACCGCACTACGCACCCCTGTACAATATAAACGTCGATTGACCGGCATTCATTGCGGTAAACAAACTGTGACGTAATAATGGTATAGGTCCATTGCAGATATACAGGCATGTGCAAGCACGTTTGCAGAACGTACTGCACCTGTGCGAATCCTGTAACGTATTGTGCATAGCACTTCGGCAGAACGTCTCATATAAAGTCGTATTTGCGCATATAAGGTTAACATCCCGTCTGTAGTTTCCAAATGTTACATGTCGGAAAAAATATTGTCTGCAACAGGCAAAATTCTGATGCAACATTGACCAAAAATCCAACGAAAACCGTGAAAAAGGGGGGGATTGCTCAGACGCAGTATGTTCTGCCAACGTGTTGCATATGATCCCACTTCTGACACCACGTGTCACGGATGAGCCGAGTCTGACTGTAACGAACTTCTCTTTTAATGAACTTCCTACTCTAGGACAAACACCAACAGGACCTCTCTCTCTAGATCTCTCCCTCCGGTCTGACCTAGCCCTCGCATTCCTGGGCCAAACTATGTCAATCGCTCGGATTCCATCACAGCAGGCATATTGAGAGGCTTTTCATCTTATCACCAATTAACATGAATAGAAAATTTCCTTTTGCATTTGCATGACTTGTTGCCAGTCTTATGGAGTGTGTTTTCCTCAGTCAACATCTTTTCCATCCTGAAATTCTCCCTGATGCTGACATTTCTGTTGCGATGTTGTTTTCAGTCCATGTGGCTGGGTTACCCAGGCACCAGCGGAGCCTCCTTCATGGACTACCTGATCACTGACATCATCACCTCCCCCATCGAACAAGCCGATCAGTACTCTGAAAAACTGGCCTACATGCCCAACACCTTTTTCGTCGGCGACCACGCACAGATGTTCCCCCATCTCAAGGAGCGTGCAGTGCTGGGCACGACTGCAGCGGGAGTCAAAATCATCGATAACAAATCCGTCATCAACGCCACAGACCTGAAGCCTGTTCTGGAGATGCAGGATGTCAAGGTATGGATTGTTTATTATGATTTTCCACAAAGTGAAAGGGAGGGCAAAACAGGTGCATACGCACCTTTACAAGTTGCCCTCCCCCATACAAAAACACATATACAACATCATATACAACATCAAAATTTACATCATCAATAACAAGTAAAAAATACATCAATATAGAAGCATAATTCAAATACATGTATATCTAATACGTAGTTATAATATATTGTGTTGTTAAAATAAGACTTAGTGCGGTCAAGAAGCAATACAAGAACTACACCCACAAGAAGTGGTCCAAGTACATGGCAGATGAAGACTAATGTGTGTGAAATCTATTTTGGGTGGCCTTGAATAGTTGATACTCCATCGTTGCTCTCTGTCATTACTATTGCATGATTAGCCTCTTCAAATGTGTTTTAAAGCACAAATCCACTTTAAGTGCCTATTATATTATATTAAATCAGTTTGAATGTTTGTCTGTTAAAAGGTAAAACTTTTGTTCCAACTCAAAAGGGAAAATATCACCTAGAGCTGTTTCACCAGTTACTCTTAGTCTTCCTCAGTAGACTGACCCAGTGAGACTAGTCATGTGGCTTGTTAGTATGTGTCATCAACACCAGGGTCAGAGAAGCAATGTGACTAGTCCCACTGGGTCAGTCTACTGAGGAAGACCAGAGTAACTGGTCAAAGCTCTAGGTGAGATTTTCCCTTTTGTGTTGTAACAAAAATTTGATCTTAAAACATGTAACTACCAACACAGATGAACTTTCATGACAGTTTGAATGTTTGTACATGTTGTATGTGTATAGACTACCACACCTATATTTTGATTAAACTTTTATAGGTAAAGAAGGAAAAGATCCCTCTTCATCTACCCCTGACCAATGGGGACTCAGCCTCTGCTAACGAGGAGGAGAAGGTCGTGGAGACACCCATCATCGAGATCAACACCACCACGGCACAGATGCAGACCATGGTGACCCAGGGACAGGTGTCCACCTGCATGAACGGGGTCGTGGTACAGAACGGCCTGGCCACCTCACAGGTTTGTTGCCCTCTCAGACAGAATCTGGTACATAGACCCTGCAGAGTACCCCACATCCCCCACAGTGTTCTCACCAGGTTTTTTTTCACAGCATAGGGGTCAGGTACAGAAGGGCAACTTCCGCAGCGCAAGTCGCGTATTGAGTCCAGAAATTTTGAAACTCATAACCCTGAGAAAATTATTCTCACTTATTGGGGGACAGATTTTGTAAAGTTAAGGTTTTCCCTTTGCTATAGCTTCAATCTAAAGTTATATTTTCATTTTTTGCAAGATTTATGAAGTTTCCCCTCAAGAAACACCCCTATGCTGGTTGAAAGACAGCATAGGGGTCGAAATCACTGCACGGGGGGTCCAAATCTCAGCATAGGGGGCCCCTATGCTCAAAGGCCTGGTGAGAACACTGCCCCCAGTATGTAATGGGACCCTGCAAAGGCCTCTTTCTCTCTCTCTCTAGTCTCTATCTGGTTTATCATCTGTTGTTCCCTGTAACCGAGGGTTAGACATACTTGCACTCTGATGCTGGGGCTTGATGGTAGCTCACCATTTGCCTCTATCCTGTGGTTCTTGGGCACAGCAAATGTCAATACCCCTGTTAAGAGTTAGCAACTTCACCGGCCAGCCATGCCTATAACCTGCAGCAAAGGACCTGAGGGAGTAATGCTGCTACTTAGTTCTTTATATGGAAACTTCACTTGCAGGACCTTGATGAAAATTGTCAGAATATTGTAAATCTTGTGTCGATGAAGGTTAGACATCCAGGTAATGAGATACACAAGGGAATTGTTACTCAAGCAACTGGATGAATTTTGAAAACTGTCAAGACGTTTCAAGTAGCATCCACTACTTTTTGTCAGGCACTGTCAAAAAGTAGTGGATGCTACTTGAAACGTCTGACATTTGTCCAGTTGCTTGAGGAACAACTAAAAATATTGTGGATCTTAGTTTCTAATAGAGTGATGGAATGTAATCTTCCTTTTCCTTCTCTCCAGGTGAACAACAAGGCTGCTACAGGAGAGGAACCCCCCGCGAACGTGATTGTGACGACCCGTGTACAGTACGGCCTGCCGGAGGACAGCGTCGTGTACTGTAACTTCAACCAGCTGTACAAGATTGACCCTGCCACTCTGCAGATGTGGGTCAATGTAAGTACTGCACCTCCCTGCTTATTTTACAGTCATTTCTGGCCCTTGTACTTTGCCTTGCATGTGATTATTCTGTTGGAAAATTTTGTTGTGTAGAGTACACATTGGGTGGGTTCATTCAATGGATAGACGTAAATTTTAGCCTTCCTGATTAGATGTACCTGTATTATGACTCCCAGTATGTACATTTAATTTCATTTTTATACTGATTACTAGATAAGGAAGGCAACAGTCACTTACACAGTCATTTAGTTAATGAGATTTTGTTAAGCATCATGATGGAGATAATTGAGAAAAAAGATGTCTTGAAAATAACAAGCAGAACTTTATGATTGACTGCAGATTCTGAACCGAGTACACAACAGCGTCCTGTGGCTCCTTCGCTTCCCGGCCGTCGGGGAACAGAACGTGCTGAACGCCGCAACGCAGATGGGCCTGTCGCCCGGGCGCATCATCTTCTCGCACGTGGCGCCGAAGGAGGAGCACGTGCGGCGGGGACAACTCGCCGACGTGTGCCTGGACTCCCCGCTCTGCAACGGCCACACCACGGGCATGGATGTCCTCTGGGCTGGCACTCCCATGATCACCCTACCAGGTGAGCTAGGTTATCTCTGAATGGGGTGAAGGGACCAGTTTTTCCGTCAATTACTGGAAATTTGCGGCATGTGACGGAAATTTTTTAGAACGAATCTGTCAACCTTGACAGACAAAGTGACCAAAAATCTTCGGTAAAAACGCTCTCAACAGCATGATTTGCTTATCAAAATGTGGGAAATTGTGTTTTTGAAGGCTTGAAAATCCAAAATTTCCCAGGGGGAGCATGCTCTCGGACCTATGTTGCCTACGGCACTTCCCTCCCCAAATCCATTGATGAACATGGGCGGACAGAAAGAAATGTCAAGCTGGCTAGAGCCATAGAAGGGATGGCATTTCTGAACAGTGTAGAGCTGGAATAACCAGGGTTGTTGCATGTGTATATGCCTGACAAATGCAATTTCCTCCATACTTGCCACAGTTCACATAATGATATCTCCATCTTCCTTCACAGGAGAGACCCTGGCCTCACGAGTAGCGGCCTCACAGTTGAACTGCCTGGGCTGCCCTGAGCTGGTGGCCCACACACGCGCTGAATACGAGGACATCGCCGTCCAACTGGGGAATGATGTGGACTAGTAAGTACTTTCCTGATATTGTGCCTGAACCCTTAGTCTCAAATGAAATGCATGTATGAACTAGAAAGATAACATTTGCAAAGCAAATGCATAATGTTTACTTTTTCATATGGTCTGCTCTTTTAATTCTTATTCAAACACATTCATATATATGGTGACAGGAGTCTAAATCCCTCCTGCTATAAAAATGCAACATGATATAACCCAACACTAGTTACCATGGTGACAGGTTTGGTTCAGGTCATTGACCTTATGTATTTGTAGAAGAGGAAACTGAGCAAAAACATTATGTTTTCCCTCGGTAAACATGAATATGTAATGAACTATTAGGCAGGCCCTACATGAATACTGACTAAAGGCAATATACCAGTACAGTGTTTGAAACATACTTACTTTGTGACATTTTCTTTCCTTACTTAGCTTGAGGAGGGTAAGAGCCAAGGTGTGGAAGCTCCGTACCACCAGCCCTCTGTTCGACTGCCACCAGTACGCTCTAGACATGGAGAGGTTGTACAGACGCATGTGGGCGCGCTACGAGAAGGGACAACCCGCCGACCACATCACAGAACCCTTTAAGTTAGCCTAGGATTGTTTTTTCAGCTCACTATCAAAGCTACTCGGAGAAAAAGAAGGATTGGGAATTACCATAGAACAACATAAAACAGAACATCATCGGGTACTAAGCTTTCCTGCCAGATCTCACTATAACCAGCTTATGCTACAAACACTAAAAGTAGTTGAGGCATAGTACCGTAGCTTTCAAGACCTATCCCACACAAGTGTAGTACTGAATACTCTTACCAAGACTGATGCCGTAACCTGTGTCAGTGCGAGCTACATTGTACATCACGATAAACTAGATATGTTAACCCCATCAGTGAGTACATGCAATTTAAACCTTGAACAACAACGCGAAGGAAAGAGATCTTGTTCGCTGGTTGACTTCTGGCGCGAGACGATAGCTTGATATTAGTACTAGCCATCCTGATGCTTCTACACCATGGAAAGAATCGATGTACAATCCGTGTTGTGTCGTTTTGTTGTTGTTGTGCAGAGTTATGGATATACGTTCCAATCCTGGTGTCAGAAGTTAACTGGAGCATACCAACCGATGCATCAACAGATTCTCAGCATTACTATTTCAGAGTGTACCTAATATTCCCTCCCCACAGTAGATCCTACATGTTAGATATGTATTTATCCTGGTGACTAGTTTGGTCGGGGGCAATTTCTACAGGTTTTCAAGGGCACACGGTAAGGGAAAGAAAATACTGCGAAAATGTAGGTTCTGTTTGACCACAGTTGAGCGTTAGTAGATGTGTTAGGCCATCCGATGTTACCTATAAATGTGATTCTTATTGTAGTTGCCGTTGTGTAATGCCGTAGACTGATGCCAGCGTCTTGCTTTATATAGCCTTATGCAGTATAATGTAAATACATACAGATATTATGGGTAATGTTTCTAAATGGTGTGCTTAATTAATGGCATGTAAGAATTAAGCACAGTGACATAGGTTTGTTCCCAGTAGTTTGTACAGGTAGTTTGGACAAGTGAAACAAAAGAAAGGGTATCAATTTTTGCCCATTACTGTAAATTATTTTGAAGATCATTTATTTCAAGTTTTTTTGTGTTCCTTTGCTCCTAATATTTTATTCCCGTGTCCCCCTTTTTTGTCTGTTAACTTTTTGCTGCAAATAAACGGCATGGAGCACTGCAAATGATGATTCGTGCGTCAGACTTTTTCTTTTGTTGTGGTTGTAACAAAAGCGTAAGCTAGGCCTGATTTACACGGGGCAAAAATATCATTTGGCCTGCGTTGAATAACGCACGTCACATCTTGTGCGACAGATTTTTTTTAGCGCTTAAACAACCTCCAACGCACGGTGCCGCAATTTTCCCGTGGCGTCCCTGGATGTGCCACACGGAAATCGACAAGCGCGGAGTTGTTAACACGCTAAAAAAGCACAGCATTCGACACAGGCCAAATGATATTTTTGCCCCATGTAAATCGGGCCTTAATACAGGGCTACAATTTGCACATTGAAATGCATAGACTCAGGCTTTTGTGGAGAAAAAAAATTTCATTGCATTCAATGTATTATTGATCCTGTATAGAAGAAAGCTTTTCATAACAACTTGTGGACTCAGCTGTCGAATCCAAAGGTTTTTGTTGAAACTGCAGCCAAGGTCAAGTGTATCCTGCACCAAATGACAAACTGAAGGACTTTCAAGCATGTTTCATTTTGCTGTAAGGCCACACCAAGTAAATTTTATGGATGACGTCCGCGCGCGCATTGATTTTGGCCTGTTCCTAGAAAAAAAAAACAAGAAATTCCGCTTCCTGTAACTATATGACCAAAGAGTCACGACAGTGCCACAAATCGTCAGATTGACGTGAAACCCGTAACGCCGAAAGCCTGTGCCTGGTTAAAAAAAAAAGAAAAAAACAAACAAAAATGAAAAAACAAACAAAATGGCACTGAAAAAAATCCTGTCAATTCTCAATAGCTCCAAAACAGTGCCGTTTTTGGAACTATTAACAGACAGGACGGTCCTGTCAGCAGTGCAATATTTCTTATCTAGGCATCTTGTTTTTTAGGGCCCTTCTTGTTTTTTTTTCGCCCTCTCGCATTAGATTTAGGGTATCCAAAGGACGTCATCCATAAAATTTACTTGGTGTGGCCTAACTATACAAAATGCACACGGGCATCCTTTAAACTTCAGAACCATCTACATGTAGTGTACCAGTTCAAATCTTGTTGCAGTAGCAAACAACCCAAGTGCATATAGCAGCCAGGTGCCATCCCAGGGGCATAGTAGTGTTATCAGGCCCCAGTCCTGCTAAACATTGGCTACTCTTTCAGACATAGGTGGTTAGGGTTCCAGACATAGAATCTAGAGGTTCTTGGTTCGAATCCCAAGCATCCCCCAATGCTATATCCTTGCAAAAGACACTCTGCACCTATTGCCTCACTTGGCCCAGTACCAAACACTGTCAGAGAAGATTACAGGAAGGTCAGAATGGTTACCATAAATTGAGAAAGATGAGTCTTGTTGAGGGCATCTTTACTGTAGGCCAAAAGATTGTTATCTCCAACAGGATATAGATTTTATAGATCCGTGTTACTGTTTTGACACAATCTTTTCAAACTAGACTGGACGAACAAGATTGAAGTTGCCACAGGACTAAGAAAACAGCAAAGACTAAAAACGAATATAATACCCCTTGATGATTTTAAACTATCAAGCTTTTTCAGTTGTCTGTTAGGTAAACAAAAACATGATATGAAGTACTTGCTATGTTGTCAAAAGTAGTGTTAAGTGACAATGCACCACCTGCAAACTTGTTTGTGTACGACTTTTCCCCTATGTTTTGTTAGACCACGGGATTTTGGAAAAACCCGGATGCCCAAACACTGTTAACACCACAGAAATCCACTGAAGTTTTCTCCTGGGTTTTTAAGTACTACAATTGGTTTTAAAGCTCAAAGGTGAACCGGCCCTTAAGAAATAATATAGGACGGATCAGACAGAGCGACAACAGCCAGAAAATAGCCCTTAAGTACAGCCTTTTAACCAAACCACTTTCACATGACCTGACAGAGGGGAAGGGTCTCTAAAGACTGGTGGATGGTAAACACTTCAACCTGTGTTAAGTCTTTTTGACTCTCCCTCTCATTGTAAGGACAGGCTACATGTTTTTCACTTGCCAAACAGCTGTCTATATCCTGATTTTCACCATTGAGTTATAATCTTTAGACTTTGATATGTCCCAATGTACTAGCATGAACAGCTATCTATTTTGCTCAGATATGATATTCAAAATTTTGCGACTATACAGGAATTTAAGGCCACACCAATTTAATGTCTTGGTTAACGGATTCGCCCGCTTCATTTTTTTCTGATTTGCAAATAAAAATAAAAATTTAGAATCAACTGCAAAGTGCTCATATTTTGCCCTGAACAGTTGAAAACAGTCCTTTTCATCCTAGTTGTTACAGTTATTCCATCTTTCAATGCAATGGTATCATTAAAAGTTCAAAATTCATTGTTTAAATATTGAACCAGCCTGGTATGTTGACTTCATGGCTTCTATCGTACCATTTTGGGCCATAATAGGATGCCTGGGCCTGTTTTTTTTTGTTTTTTTTCGCCCGCCCGCTCCATTATTTTTCTAGAAAAATCCGTTAACCAAGAAATTAAATAGGTGTGGCCTAAGTAGAGAATTGAAATTCTTAAATTAAAAAAAAAAATTCTAAAGTAATACGCCACACATGTCTTGTTGCTAAATTCAAAGACGCTTGTCATTTAATTTGAATATCAGTAAACTTTGCTAGTAATAAAATGCCCACATTTGGTACACAGTTAAACCCGAACCAACATAGGACATCATGATACAATATCAACATTACATTCTCAGATTACAATGTGTACACATCCCACAAGGATATTCCATTAGCTTAGACACATTTTGACAATCTATATTACAACATTCCGAATCTATACATGGTTACCAGATATATCCCAGCATTCCGACATGTAGACAATTTTGCTATTTGTATTCCAACATTGTTGATTACAGAATACATGTATATTAAATATATAACTAATTGATATAACTAAAGGTGAGGACTTTTTCCCTTTGTTTACCGGACTAATTTACATGTTACATTTTTTGCACAGGGCTAGAAAGTAGATCCTCTTAACCTTCTCCCTGCTGCCTAACACTATCAAACCAATACAAAATTGGTACCAACAAAATCCTAGCAGGGGGAGGGTTAAAGGCATCCAATGCAGTTTTTAGGGTTTGGAAACCTGAAATTTTAAAATCCAATATTCTAGTCATTTAGCTACATACAGAGTTGAAACCACACTGTCCCAATGTATGTTGACCCTCATGGAGCAAAAATTCTACGGAACTGGAAGGGCCCTGGGCTGATCTTTAGGGTACCACCCAGAAAACAAAGGACTCATCTCTGGGCTTGTTTCTGCACTTTTAAATGTCCAAAGTTGAAATATGCTAATTTGGGGCAGTTTGTGTCAATATCATAAAGATTGCCTTATTGAGAATATTTCCAGTTTTGCTGCTCTGAAATCGCATTGGATGCCTTTAAAAGTCTTTCCAATGACTTATTCTGTAACTAAGATAAATCTGATGATTTATCTATGTCTATTACTAGTATTAGTAACCTAAAACTAACAGAAGGATGAATTGGCAAACACAGAATTTGCAAGTGTGTGTATCACTGAGGAAAATTCAGCTGAATACAACTTTAACATCGTCTCTTACAAAGAGAAATCTACCACATTCATCTTCATTACATAATAGAGAAAAAGATGACATGACAGAAATACTGGTCATTACACACATGAAATACATGTAACTGAGGTCTCGTTGATTTGAATTTCTTTCTCTATTCTTATCCTGTGATGAAACAACCCAGTAAACAGGTGTGATCTAACCCCTGAGGTTATACACTACAGCTCAAAGTACATGTATGGGTAAAACATGATAGTAACTGGAATAGACCAACGAAGAACAAAGCTTGCTATTGGACCTCGATCATGTTTTGCAACTCAATGAATTTTAACATCAGTGAAGATATTTTGTAGCCATAATTCTTTTACATGATTGAGAGAGAACAATGGAAGAGGGGTTGGAAGTTGGGAAAATGACAATGAATTTCAAGATAAGATGAAAATTTGCATAAATGTAAACCCTATGAAAAAAAATTCAGATCAATAAAAGGCAAAACAAATTGCACAAAAACTTGACCTGAGAAAGCCAGAAATAGATTAAAACACTTTTACACATAAAGTATGTCTCCTTCAATGCTTTACTCTCCTCATATGTAAACATGCAATTTTCCAAACATGCAGTTTCCATGTGAAAGGTGATTCTGATAAATCTAAAAGTACAAACATTGCACCAAAAATGCAGTTTGATATTAAGTTTTCAATATTCTATACATCACAAGGTAACATACTGTAAGTCTCTTTAGATTCGCGGGGCCTAAAGTTCGCGGTTTCGGGAAAATGGACAATCCGCGGTATTTTTAGATTCGCGATTTCTCCTTAGCTATTTTTCAAACAAAAATTTGTAAAGTGTATATTTAAAATAATAAAAGTTCGTGTTCCGGCATTTATCTCCTAAAACGCGGCGCAAAAATTTGTTTCGTGCACCGCGCGAGACTGCCGGCGGTAAAGCTGACGATCGATCTGACGCACGTGTAAACAATTTTCTTTGTTCGGAAATAAGCGCTAAAATGCTATTTTCTACGACTACACATCGATACTCTAGTGAAGAAATGCATAATCGAAAGAATATATATATTACTAAGCAAATTTATGCCGTCTTCGGCGAGATTTTGAACCCGGAAGTATGCAAAGGTCGCCTTCGGTTTTGTAGGCCCACGGTGAACGTTTCTATCCAGCAAAACAAGAAGAAGAAAAAGATAACCAACTAACATTTCCCAGGTACCAGCCGTTATATTTTTCATAAAAATACTTGTAGATATGCCCGATGTTCCCGCAATTTTCAAGCACCCGGGCGCGCATGGCCGGCGCTCTGCACGCATAGATTTTTTTCGGCGGTACACGATTGACACGGCCAGTGCCGCAGTATCGCGATTCGGTGTCTCATAATATTATAATTTTTTGACATCAGTATAACTTTAAAAAAAAATTGGTACTCAACATTTGCTAAGAATGAAGTTGATTTGCAGTGATTTGTGAATCGCGTGTGTTTCGCATACCGTCGTGAATGCATGTGGGGAGGGGGGCGTACTCACGCAAAACATATTCGCGGGGAAATAGATTCGCGGTATAAAGGTCCCCGCGAATGCCGCGAATCTAAATATACCGCGGAAATTTGTAGACTTACAGTAATGCCCTGAACATAGTTTGGCAGGTACCAGTAAGAGTCTTTTATCTCAGTCTATTTCCTAGAAATGTAGATGTGTGCTTCTCAATTTCAATAAAACTTTGACTGTAGACTTGTACCAATTCAATCAAATAATGTCCATTTTCTATTCAATGGGAGAACACACCTTCACATAAGACTTTCAAAGTCTTTTGAAAGGTGAAAACATAACCACCAATGTCTCTCATCTTGATTGTGATTATTTACGACGATTCTTCGATCAACTTTCGGCCCGACTTGACTTGTTTTTGCAGAGCGTCGAACACGCGCATCTCCTTCTCTTCCTTGGCCTTGTTGCGTGCCTCGAAGTGCAGCCTGTTGCGGATGATGCGCTCGATGATCTTGGTGGTCGTCATGTCGCTGCCGCTGTCGATCTGCTTGTACTTGCCCAGGTCCTTGGGCACCTTGTACGGGTCGTGCCCCTCCGGGTCGGGGATGATGTTGGTGCGGCCGTGGACGACCAGGTCGATGTTGAAGTGCTCCATCAGCTCTTCCGATACGGTGTACGGGGCGCCGATCACCACCTCGGAGACGTACCTGCAGGCCAGCACGCACAGCGTACGCTCGTGGATATTCATGATGGGATGGTTGGACCCCTTGTAGTCGTTCACCACGGGATCGGTGTGGAGGCCCACGATGAGGTAGTCTCCCTCCTGGCGAGCGCGTTGAAGGAAGTCGAGATGGCCGACGTGGAAGAGGTCGAATGCTCCTGACACGTACACGATCCTGTCACCGGGCTCCGGACCGCTCCCGCCCTCCGCAAACTGCGCAATCTTCTGGGTCGTAGGGAGGAACTGGGACACGCCCGTCCACGGGCTGCGGGCCTGCGGGTTCTCACGCAGCTCCTCCACCTTGTCTCGCGGCGGCTGAGCCTCGTTCTCGTGGTCGTGATGCGTCTTCGTCAACAGCAGCATCCGACCGACCAGATCTGTCGTGGACACCCCCGCTGTCCGCTTGCACTCCTTGTAGCGCCCGCCATTCTTCACCTCCGAGTAGGTGTCATGGCCGTCAGCTGTCATGGTGATGTCATCGCCGTGGACACAGTAGTCACAGTTGTACTTGTCTAGGGTTTCAATAGTGGTGACATATGGTGCCGCTTCCACAACCTGAAACAACAGGAGGGCCCTCAGGTCAAACGCAATGCACACAAGTACTGCTGTAGTGCTGGATTTCTGACCACAAACTGACTTTTTTTAGCTAAAACCTGACCTTGTTTAAATACTGGTTAGGCCACACCGACTTAATTTTATGGATGACATTCTCTGCTGAGCCCCCAAACTAGCGCGCGCAGGCGAATAAAAAAAAATTCCAGCCAAAAATAAAAATGCTACTAAACTACAGGAATACAAAGCTGGTATTATGAAATAGCACATACTGGCTTTTTATGGAATTTATGATTGGCACTGTATGTATGTGCACGGGTGATCTTGTTCCTGAGTTACCACTGGCTCTGTATTGTCGCTAACTACCAGGCCAGAGCCTCGGAGGACGTGATCTTTTTTTTTTAAACAGGTGAAAATCAATGCGTTCGCAGATGTCAACCATAAAATTAAATCAATATGGCCTTATGATTGCGTCCGCGATAGTCATTGGTCGAAAAACATCGTCCAATGTTATTTTGTCCCAGTTCCTACTAAATTGTCTGTTAACAAATTGGAAATAGAACAAGTGATTTTTTCTAACCAAGGACATTATACAGAACCTTGTTCTAACAAAATGTAACTGGTGCATGTGAACCTGTCCTAGCTATTAAACTGGCAATAACAACACGTGCTGTGAAAGAAACCTTGAGATGGGTGAAGCATAAAACATGTGTGGGGTTGTGTGGCAAAGTGTTTAACTCGGAATCAAGAGGTCCCGTGTTCGAGTCCTGACGTACCACCGATCTTGTGCCTTTGGGAAAGGCACTTTACATGACTTTCCACACTTTACTCAGGTAAAAATGAGTATTGTATTGTCCCTTGTGTTGAAATGTGTTGAGAAAAGTTGAAAAAAACTTCACCACGTATTGTGATTAAATGTTGGAATATTGAAAAAAAGATGTTTCTGATGATTGTAAAAATCAAGGTTTCTCTCAAACACGTGTTGGTGTTGGTGGCATAACAGCCAGGACACGTGCCCATGTCCAATTAGCCCAGTATAAAGTGCAAGAAAAAAGTCCTTGGTAAAAGACAATTTACTAGGAACTGGCACAAAAAAAAACATTGGACGATATTTTTTCACCAATGACTGTAGCGGACGCACGCTTCCTGTCCAGAAATATATTATAATATATTCAATTATCAAGGACATGATAATGTCTATATATTGACAAAAACGGCAAAAGCACACAACAGTGGTATCTAAGAGGGAGAGAGTGTCATTTGACATTTCAGGTAGGTAAAATTACTTATCTCATAGATGTTTGACATTCTGTGCCATTCAGGAGGTATAGTGAAATTTAAAAAAAAAAACTGAAGCTAAAATATTTACACCTTAACTTGGTGGTGGAGTAAACTAAATCGTAAGATGAAGCAAATTCTGAACAGACTGGTTACCAGGCTACCTCTTCTGGCTTCTATGCTCCTACTAAGCATAAACGACCTCTCCTGACTTACTAGATCTTTCTGCCGACCTATCTAACTACATGTACATGCATTGCCATCCTGTAGGCAAACTGATTCAAAGCCAATCCATAGAAAAAAAAAGGCGTGCGCTAACGAACCTGGGCGGGCAGGTAGTACTCGGAGCGCCGTAGAGATACCGGGAAGCCTACGGTAGACTGGCTGTCAGGCTAAGCGTACTCTAATCATGCATGGCTGAAACCTTATCGGCAAACTTTCTTTGACATCCATTTTCGTTTCTCCTTCATGGTTACAGGGATCCCTTGTCTGCCCAGTATCCTGACACGACGCATGCAATATGGGCTCCCTGCTGACTTCCCTCTTCGTGTTGACTGTACTGTCCACTGCTGTCGGGAAGACCGTTGACTACACCGGCCGCAACTTGACGCAGGTCCCGACAGACGCCATCACGTCAGACGCTCACACCGTCCGACTTTCTCACAACAAGATATCCCGCCTCGGCTCTGGCTTTACCTCAGCCCCGTACATCCGGTACCTGTTCATTGATGACAACAGGGTGAACAACTTATCCCCGCAAAACTTCCAACCTCTGCGGGAACTACTCTTCCTAGATCTGGACAGGAACTTCATTGTTTCCCTTCACAACTTCACCTTCTCGGCCCTCGCCACGCTTTTGGATCTCATTCTCTCCAACAACCTCATTTCTGCCGTCTCGGCGCGGGCCTTCCACGGTATGACAAGTCTGCAGTTCCTGGAACTTTCCGGGAACCGACTGTCGGTAGTTCCCGCGCAGGCCGTCCGCCTGATTCCCAGCGAGCGGCTCTTGTTAGTTCTACTCATGCTGAACAACATCAGCCAGATTCCCAGAGATATCGCCTCCATCCGCCCGTCTGCTTCCTACGCGCTCCAGGGCAATCCTCTGCGCTGTCCGGATGAGAAGATGAATTCTAGCCGCAAGAACGTGATCAACTTCGAGAACATACCCAGCTGGCCCCCGATGTGGAGTTACGTCGTTGACACATTGGAAGGGGGCCGTAGATTTACAGGGAAGTATTTCTTCATCAAAGATAGGCACAAGTACTTCGGCGTTGCTCCCAAAACCTTCTACGTCAAAGAGCACCTTAGCCTTCATCTCCCTGAGGTTCCCGCGGGCAAGTACGCGGATTATCCAGCGGCCTGGATCACCCCGACAGGGCGTCGCTGGGTCCTTCCCGGCAAAATGCTCCCGGTTGAAGACTTCACGGCGGCAGACTCCGGACTGTACACATGTGTGCGGGACATACCGGGGAGCACCAAGTCCGTCCGAATAGACCTGCTGCTGTGCCTTCACCGGCCGGCCGAGGACGGGCAGAAACCTGAGAAAACAACAACATCCCCATCCGAGGATTTTTCACCACAGGACCATAAAAACAGCAGAGACGACATCTGTGAGGGTTCTCAGGCAAACCAGTCCTGCTGTTTCAATGGGTCAAGATCACCATCGTTTCATCTCCCGGAGTTCTGTGATGCTGGAAGCACCAACTCAGACTCAGAAGCAAAGCCCACCCCCTTACTACTCATCCTTGTCATTGCTTCTGTAATTGTCGGCACACTCGTGATGCTCTTTGATGTATTTCTTTGGAGAAAAAGGCGAGGAAGGAGCAGAGAGAATGGCGGCACCGCCAGGGCTGCGTTACGCGGCGCGGAGGCGCGGGCCATGGCCGTCTCCATCCCTCTTCACCGCCTGCCCAGGCTAACAGAACATTCAATGGAAGGAGAACCAAACGCATCTTCACTCACTCATCTGAGAGGAACTGAATTATGGGCGGCGATGAAATTGGGAGCCACCCGATATACTGGTAGTTTACACCGCGTGGCAGGAACGCCCCCAGCGGACACGATTGGTACTACAGAAGCTCAGGTTCATCACTACGAAAACGATGACGATGCAGCTGAGGAGGTCGAATGTCACGAATACGCCTCGGCAGCACCACCCCCTCTACCGGGCGATGAGGAAAGTGCAGTTGACGGTGAGGATACAGGCCTACCAGAAGGACTATCTGAACAACCTGCTTTTCAGATCGGGGAAGATCTGGAAATGCCTTATGGTGTAGCCGCGACAAATACACTGTATCAGCGAGGAGGGACGGCACCGAATCCTAGTAGTAGTGTTCTCACAGACGAGCACACAAGTAGCAGTAATGACTTGGCTGACTCGGCAACTTACAGTGCGACAGACGACAACCCGGTTGAAGCACAAACCGTCACCACTGATTTGTACCGGCAGCAAACTGTGCACACTGAGCACATAGCAGCGGAAGCAAACACACTGTACCGACGAGATACGGCACCGAATCGTATCTCTCTCACAAGTGAGCACGCCCATACTGGCACCGAGGCAACGTACGGTGCGACAGACGACAACCGAAAAGAAACCATCACCGCTGGCCTGTATGGACAGACAGCAAATTGACTAATTGACAAGCAGAGCTACACAGGGACAGTATCAAACCGTATCGACGTATACGTCAAGCCGGCACATGCTGGCTTTTTGCGGAATTTATGAATCGGCACTGCTATACTGTACTGAGATCTTGAGTCCTGGAGCTTCGGCAGCCTGGGTGCTGTCCTCCAGAGTTACCGCCGGCTCCCTATTGTCGCTAACTAGCAAGGACTACCCAGGCCTAGAACTAGTAGAAGCAGGCCACAGACTCGGAGGACGTGATCATTTTTTTTTTTTTTGACGACAGGCAAAAATCAATGCACGCGCAAGGATGTCATCCACAAAATTAAGTCGGTGTGGCCTTACCATAGATTCAAAATGACATCATGAAGCTACTTAAAAGTTAAAGTTTTTAAAATGCATCCAGTTGTTTGAGTAACTTTTTGTGTTCTTTATAAGCTTACATTTTAACTTTTTTCTTAGTGTACAGTGTTAAGCTTTTTTTTATTGTCACTTCAAAAAGCAATCTTCTCTGGTGCAGCAACACTGGGGTTTGTTGTGAACAGAATTGCCCTGAGGAAGGTGACAGACAATCTCCAAAATGTCAGCTGAATAAACTTCTTGGTTGTGTAAAAAGAGTCTCTTTGTTCAATCTTCTCTCTATCTAAGCTATATCACCTCTTTCTTTCTGCTTGTATTTTTGGATGCTAGAAAATTGATTCAAATGCTAACTGATCTTTGTGGTGGAAGAGCTACGTGATCTGTAATTTTACACCACAATTTTCCAGTTGGCTTGACACAAATCACTCTGAGCGAACATTGTTGACATGTAAGGCAGGTGGACATTGCACTATGCTACCTGCAATCTCACCTTTGCACAGTCGGACAAAGATCACTTAGTAGTTATATATAGAAAAGCTGACAAACATGATACACGTATTATATTAACGTAAGATTGGGACACTAGATTTCCCATGTTTGCGTTTATGTGCAAAATGTTGGTGACACTTCTCAAGTTAACCATACCGTTTACTACAATTAGAAATTCCACCTAATGAAATTATATAACGCTTATAATAGGTCTTGAAGCTAAACAACTGTCTAATTCCGTCCATAGTACATGTGTAGTTGTAAAACCAGCATACGGCCACAACAGCCGCAGGGGCCGTGTGTAATACACAAGGGAATACCCAGGCCCGGATAGCGTGCGCCACGCCCATTTTTTCGCATTATGGTAACCCGGACTGCTCTTTCCAGCCAATTGTCTGTAAAATCCGTCTCCAACTACGAATAGCAAGTAAGCTAAGGAAAAGATGACCCTAATATAGGGCAATCTGTACCGATTGGGAAAGTTAATTAGATTAGACGTGTAGAATAATTTGCCCCTTTAAAACACGCACCTCATCCACCCATTTGACGGCTCGAACCATCTTGTACCTCTCCTGTTCAGTCATGACGGGCGGACCCTTGTGTTTACTGATCTCTTCGTCCGAGTGCACGCCCACGATCAGGTAGTCTCCCATCTTCTTGGCCTGACGGAGGGCGTTCGCATGGCCGAAGTGGACCATGTCAAAGCACCCGTCCACCCAAACACGCAGGGGACGCCGTCCTCTCTCCTGGTCTCCCCGGTTACTTTCGCCGCCGTCAGCCATCGTTATTGTCCAAATCGGTACTATAGAGATCTTTCCACAATATTCTAGAAGCAAAATTGCTAGGTATGTACGTAAAGATCGGCACAGCGACAAAACATAAAGGGGACTGTGACGATCACGCTATCGGACGATTTCTCGCGCCACCAATGACCTTCTGACCCTTGAGTCATGTAGTAACCTTTGACCTGGAAAGCAACAGCTCAGAAGCGCCGCCTGGCGGATTGAGCGGGAACCGTGCATAAGGTGCATCGGCAGCCGTAGTGAGCAGTAGTGTGCATGAGAACCAGGTAAGATGTGTCCCTTTCTGTCCGAATTTTCCCCCGATTCTGCGATGTTTTTGCATAGCTGAGGCGAATGGCAATTTCTACGGGGGGTTTCATTGTCAGAGTTTGTATATTGGTTGATATAGTTGATATTTTTAGCTGGTTTACGGGATGTCTGTAGTCTGATCCCAAGTTCCGACCGAGCCGCCGTACCGACGATAAAATAATTTGACGGATTGAGTGTGGAGAAACCGTAGCCAAACTTTCCCATCCTGCGGTTTCTGTGAACAGGGCAGGGTTTCACTACAGGGTTGGAATGCTTCCAAAAGTCACCAGCCTCGTGGCAAACTTCAGCAAACCACGTTAAAATCGTTAGGCGCCGACTGCGATGCTCTTTTCTGCAGCGGGCCACTGTTGTGCAAATGAAGGGTTGGTGACAATTATGGCCGCGGCGTCCCCCTCTCTCTGTCTAAACGCTTTCCTCCGCCTTCTGTACTTTGTTTACGTGTCTGTCGGCTCCTCCAGAAGCCACGGTATGCACAAGTCCTAACACAGAAACAACACGGCTTGGAAACTGGCCGAACTGACCTCCAAAAGTTGAGAAACAACAGATGCTTGAAGGCGGTTTCATGTGCTTGAAGTTAACGCACTTGGCATGCATATGAAAGGATTTTCGACAGGCTCTCTATATTAGGGACAAGCTGTTCACAGATGGGGGAGAGACCCACTCCTTTTGATGTCATTGTCATGTAAAGGCTTGCTGCCAAAATAAGAAAAGAGCTAGCTTCAAAAGGGCTAGAGTTTTGTTTTTAAATGGCAGTCTTGCCTATTTTCTTTCTGGTTGGGGGGCTTTTGTAATTTTGACTTTTGAAGGCATTTACATCTGAGTGGAGACTGAGTTTAGATCACAATGAGTACAGTTTGTATGGGCCTTCATTGTCACATTTTGTTTTCGTTTACTAGAGTCAACCTTACAGGTATTTATGTTAATGTATAGGTATGCACTCAAAGTTGAAAGTACCTGTTTATTGGGTAGAATTACTAGAAGTCTCCACACACTTTTTAAAAATTTTTTTTGATGATCTAGAAGCATGAAGAAGATGACTTTTTATTCCCACATTTTTTTTATAATTTACTAGTATATGTATTCGTATATCTGTTGCTTTCTGATCTAGGCTGGTGTTTCATAACTGTAATCAGAGAAATGTAAAAAAAAGAAACATGTTACAGAGTTACTTGTTAACTTTGGGTACACAGGAATAGGAAGGATTGTACATGTAGGAAACCTTTTTGGCACATTTTGGATGCTAACAATTTTGGAGCAAAACTACTAGTATATGGTACCGTAGTAACCTTCTCCCTGCTGCCTAACCCTGTAACAAATTTGGTGCTTAGGCCACACCAATTTAATTTCTTGGTTAACGGATTCGCTTGCTTCTTTTTTTTTCTGATTTGCAAATAAAAATAAAAATTCAGAATCAACTGCAAAATGCTCATATTTTGCCCTGAACAGTTGAAAACAGTCCTTTTCTTCCTAGTTGTTACAGTTATTCCATCTTTCAATGCAGTGGTATCATTAAAAGTTCAAAATTCATTGTTTAAATTTTGAACCAGCCTGGTGTGTTGACTTCATGGCTCCTATCATACCATTTTGGGCCATGATACTTTTATTGATAGGATGCCTAGGCCTGTTTTTTTTTATTTTTTTATTTTTTCGCCCGCCCGCTCCATTATTTTTCTAGAAAAATCCGTTAACCAAGAAATTAAATTGGTGTTGGGCCTTAGCAATAATTACTAGGAGCTAAAGCTTTTTTGCAGTCAAGGCAAATTGTTAATTGACCAACAGCTGTAAAGGGTGGGTGCTATAGTCGTCCTACCGTAATATCTCTGGTTGCATGACTCTGCCATTGCTGCTAAGGCAAAATGAACAGAAAATGGCAAGGAATCTGTTCAGATCCTGGTAGCTATCACAGTATACAAGGCCTGTGGAGTCTGCAATAGAAATGCAATACTTGTTACACTAAACTATGTCAGGGCATACTTGCTTGGTGATAATAATTCTACAGTACTGTATACTAGTATATGGTCTAGATTTCAACAGGTCAAATCAAACAGTTTTATGGCGCTGTCCCCAGACCTCGACTGGAGCATGTTTGTGTGTTAATCACTATTTATAGACTCTTGGAGTGCCTTTAATTCCAATTGACCAGTGTCCCCCCCATAGGAATTTATGGACTCCCCTGTCCCAATCAACCTACAATTAAGCAGTCGGAGAGGACCGTAAAATGACCAATAGTCAACAGTTACTACGATTGGTTGATTGATGAATTGTGACACTTACATTTGATATAGTCTGGTGCTTTTTTAACCTTCAGCCTGCTAAAATGGCTACCATATTTGTATTCATTATTAATATTCATTTTTAATAAACTGGTATGGGTTTAGGCAGCAGGGAGAAAGTTGAAGGGGAAAATAACTTTATTACTACTTTTGTGACTGATAATCTTTAAAGTATACATTGAAGCTGTCTGAAATCTATTTAAGTGATATAAAGATATTGGAGATGACTTCAATGAGAGAAACAATTTCTGTTTGATGTATAATATATGAAGTTATGAACATACGGTGATATACCTGATGAATTAGGAGACAAATTTCTTGTGTGATCGTAGAATTCTCCACGGTAATGACCTGTATAACAAGACCAAGTGTAAAATGGACTCATATCTCTCGATATCGCTTGTTCGCTAGTTCCGCACTTCCGATCAATATTTCCCATTCTGTAGGCCCCCTGTCGCATCCACTATATGAAATTATTTTGGATTTATCACGAAGTGTTTCATCGCAAAACATCAATATTTTGTCGCAGCTTTCCCACCAATTGTAGCCGAGCATTCGTCAACCCTTTGAAGTTTCACGCCAATCTGCCGATAACAATGAGATGGCATTTTAGTCGCTGGTGGAGAAATAATGGCAATATTCTTTGAAGTGGACAGGGGAGAAATGGGTTAGCGCCACAGGGAACTGGACAAGCAGTGGGAATTTTTGAGGTTTGGAAATAATTACAGTAACTTACTGTAAATTGAAATTTATTTTTTGGGGGACCTAAAGTTTCATGGTATAGGGAAAGTACTCTTTTGGTGTGTTAAAAGTTCACTGTTAAAACATGTCTGTGGTAGTGTTACAGTAGTAATACATGTACAATACAAATGCACATTCCCAGTTGCTTATGATTAAATGTACATCTTTACTGGAGGTCTTTGAAATTTTTCTCCAAATACTAGTAGTAGGTTGCAGATGCGAATTTGAAAGCCTTTATGGCATATTTACAATAACAGAAGTCGTATTCGGTGAATTTTGAAATGAATCTATAACGTATGAACGTCAACAAAATATGTTATTTTTATATATAGCTTTTACAACCATTTGTTCATATACTGTATGTCGGCAACACCTTTACTACCATTCAATCTATAAGTCCCAATGAGCACAAATGTATTTAGGTCGTCAGGTAAGGAGGTTCAAATGACCTCAAACCTCCTTGGTTCAATAGACAACAATGCTGAACAGTTCCCCTTGCAATTTTCTTTTATCCTGGTTGGCATAGATTTAATCGTTCGGGACAATGCATGCGGGAGATAAGTGTCTTTTTAATGATTCATTAATTAATACGAAATTGTGAGCATGTCAGTTAGAAAAGGGAGTCATGCCTGAAGGCTGAAGAACATCTAATTTCACCTTATCTCTGTGGCTGCACCTGTTGTGTACACAGCAGATTAGATTGTAGGCAAGCAGAACTGATTTACCTCAGGTGTGGAGGAAAGGGCTCTGATTGGTTCATCCTGGTAATTAGATTTAGTACAACTTGTTCTACTACATGTCTGCCAGGCATGAGTGATACAGAACTGAGGTGGGGAGAAAATCATGCCGATTGGTTCATCCTGGCACATGATTTAATTGACTAATGACTAATAATAGTTATACTTTGCAATATTCTGCAGTATGCTGGGTCCAGAATTTTTGCCAATTGAATCAGAATTTTAGATGCTTTTTGCATCAGGGGGACACCAGAATTAAGAAACGCAAAAGTTGTAGGTTTGAATCTGTAGACCCTCGATTTTGACACTAAGTTGGAAGTCAGTGACTGCAGTTTAGCAATCAGATCAGGAAGTCCATACAGGTACATGTACTAATCAAGAAAAGTGACCTGATGTTCTTAGGCAAATTCCTATCACAGTATCAGGATTGTGCTGTCTCTCTCATCACTTGATGACCAATGACCAAAAGAGACTTGCTCTCTAAGTCTAACTGTTCTTCTAAGTTCTAACCAATCGTACCGATACTGTATAACAATGCTTAAGACCTGACAACTGATTGAATTCTTTCCTACCGCTATATGCAAAATGTGGCCGATTGTTTTGTAGGCAGGGCTCTATTGCATTAGCCCAGGGTGGCCCTCTGTAATATCAGCTGAGATAATCTGTACACCTCAAAGCTAATATGTGACCTACATTTTGAGGTCGCGACTTTCAATCATCAATTTTGATTGAGGTCTCCAGGGGTCTCCAAACTATAAAGTGCTGGCGGGGCGGCTCTATTTAAATTCCCTCTGAGCATGTTACCTTCATTATAGCAACTTTTACTGCATATATATTAGTCGTAAACTTACTGCATTATAATGAGATTGCTCCCTCTGTAGTTGTATTTCTGTTATTTTTCTGGCCGTGTCCTAATTTGTTGCGTGGTGCCTTTTCTGGTTGTTGATAGAAATGCTTGCCATGGTTTAGATAGGACAAGCTGGTGGTCCGACCAGCCTGGAATGTACCACCCTGTGAGAGCACTCGCCACCATTCTTCAGAAGAGAGCCATGCAGTGTTAGGCTGGAATCCAGACTGTTTCTCTAGGGCCTAGACAGGTCGGCCGCTTGGCCCAAAGTTAGTGCTGCCTACCGGTTCACTGGACTTGGATCCGGACTTGTAAGAATGTTTAGGTTCAAGTCCAAAAAAAACTAAAAGTCAAGAACC